CGCTGGGAGGGGACACGAGGTGTATATGGCCTGTACCTACTTCGGCCTACTCATTACTACGCCAATTAAAAAAGTTTCAAATTGGTTTTCAAACAGAAAAGGCCCCCACTCCCACTTCAAGTAAAGAAAACAAACTTTTACCTTACGCGCCTCTACTTTGAAACAGCGCCACCTCGTGCTGGATGGTGTTCATTCCCGATGCGATGAATGCATGAGAAGCTGAAAAGTGAAGGACCTGGTAGAATACTGCACTTGCATTGTGTCATCGTCGAAGGCAGTTTTGCTATGTAACAAAAGTACAAAACATCTTACTCATCCACATCACAGGACAACAGTAGCATTTGTTCCACAGTGGCACACCGTACAACTACCTCCATGCGTACAAGTTCACTGTTGCTGCGACGGGACACCTACCCAGACAACTACCTATGGTGGCCCTGAGATGCCATCACATATCGCAAATATCTTGCAAATAGTATTGCAAATGCCTTTGCGAGTTTTTGTTGCATACTGTGCTTCATAGTTTATTCTACCGGGCTATTTTTCAAGAAACTAAATAGAGGGTTCAAAGATGTTTTGAGATTGTGGCAATGAAATTTTTCTTAAATCACATTAAGGAAACACGACTTGAAAAGGCTATAACTGTGGCCTTTGTCGGATTTTTAAAGAAAACTACACGGGGAAGCTTCCAAGCTGATTGGAGAGACGTCCCCTCTAAGAATTGGCAATGAAGCCATTTTCCCAAAGGTAAATACATGGTGTATCCCCAGACTGCTGTGCAGTAAAAAAAATAGAACAGCAAAAGTACCCCAAACAAACACACACAAAAAAAACAAACAAGATTAGCTTCCACCGAAGCTTTCATTTCTTGAACATGTGCATGCAGAAAAGTAGTCAGGTACTGACTTATGTAGTCTGTGCACTTCGTTGGCACACACACACAGCAACCACAACCTGCATCCAACCACTCTCATACAAATGGAAGGGTGGAATTATCCCAAGACCCTCCAGCTTCTTGAAAAATAAGCTGGTAGAAATATGCAGTCTCTGCAACAAACTTTTGATGAAGCAGGTGACAAAACTTGCCACATCGCAAATGTCAGCAAAGACATTCGCTGTAATAAATTATTTAGTAGCACAAATTCTTTGCAAAAATATTTGTGATATAATTGGAGACGTTGCAACTATATGTAAAGATATCTGTAATGTCCGTTCAGGGCCACCATATTTGTCAGTTCAGGCAGAAAAAACAATTGTATGGCATCATGTACAGTATACACTGTACATGTAGTAACAAAACTGCTGTGGCCTCGTTCCTCCACGCCATTGTATGCAACTGATTTACAGCATTATCAAGGTTCAGTAACAGCAATGAAGTTAACAGCAACAAACCACAACCCTATAAAACAGTACATGTACAGTAGTGTTAACACATGTCAGTAACATACGTCTACACTGCTTTAGTAATGCAAACATATGCATGCACAACAGTAAATTTCAGGAAGTGCTGCACCAACAGCAGTAATAGCTAGTGTTATGGAGCAGCAAAGCAGCAGCAAGAGGCTAGCAGCCGTTAATTAATTTTGTATGCCTGGAAGGAATTTGGGGGGCGGAGGTGATATGGCACACCATAATTAGGTGGGGGAAGGTGGAGTCTTGGCAATTATTCCTACATACACACATGTACATGTTGGGCATGATTGGCCGATTCTGCGTGAAATCTCTCACAACCTTGATTGGAGAAGAAAGGCAATTGACCGACGACAGGATTACCGACAAATCGTGCACAAGCCTCGGATGGACCGAATGGACAAACGCATACCTGCCATTGTGCTAATTTTGCTTTTAAAAAATTGTTCATGACATAACTGTACGTTTACCTCAACAACTAAATCTACAGCTAGTCACGGGCCGATCAAGCATACAATGGAATGGGGCAGTGCCAGCGTTAATGAAAGGGGAAGGGCCAACGAAGGCAGTGGTGTAGATTTGTGCCGGAAAGTGGGGGATGGGCAATGGAGAAAGGTGGGGGGGCGGGGGGTCGACACAATATGATTCTATATAGAGGTTGATGTTCATGGTACTGATGTACATCTATCATATGTATTCCAAATGGAAGATTTATGGTTTTTTTAAATTTGTCAAGTTGGAAGTCTGAAAAATTCTTCACAATTCACTATAATTTTTTTGCACACCACAAAAAAGTGTGGAGGGGGGGATGATTCAATAGCCCATCCCCCACCAGAAGTGGGGGGATATGCCCATGACCAGAGGTGAGGCCAAACATACAACAAACATAGGCATATCTTTCATGATGACTCTTTCCAGAGCTGATTAAACATTTTGACTTGTTAAAAACATGTTGGGGGGAAGGGGAAACCCCTACCAATAAAGGGAGGGGGCATGCCTCTCTCTCTGGATCTGCTACTCCACCATGAGTGCACCCCACCTTCAACACATCCAATCCATTACAAGAGGGCATTTCTCCATCTACTCACCAGATCACCGCCATCAGTGTGCCAAGTTGGAGAAGTGTGAACTGCGTGCGTATGCCCACCTTGGGGGAGGGACACAAACCACTGTAAATGTACACATTTGTAACCTCACTCACCGATTCTGTATCTTGATTGGCCAAGAGCCAGTTATTGGCATCAGCTGTCAGGCTCTTCATGGGCAAAGGAACTATACCCATAGCAACCAAAGTATTATATCCACAGACACCAACAGCAGAACAATTTTCGAAGTGGGGGGGGGTGTTGTTAAACCATCAGGCATCAGCCATTAATAGCTCGACCCGCTGAGCCCCACCCCCATAGGACCTGCAAAAAGTCTGGGGGGGGGTCGGCCTCCCAGTCAGTTGAAAATCAACCCCCCCTTCTGCAGCAGTGCCTGCAGAGACCAAAGACTACAGTTGAACCTTGTCAGTAAGGGCACTGTGAATAGATTGTTCTGCCTGCAAGGAAATCTGTAGATCCCAATTTTTTTGTTTTTCATTGTTTTCATTCCTGATAATGCCAGTTTCCTGTTGTAACAAGGTAATCTGCAAAGTCTGAAGGACCTCTTCTTAATGAGGTCCAACTGTATACACATAACTTTCAACATTGCGCTAAAACACGTGCGCATTGTGAGTATGCGCATTCTAAAGTGTAAGTGCTACAGAGCTGGGTTCAGACATTTCGTGAAACGGTAGTTTGGGAAAGTGCTGGTAAATTTTGAACTACATTGTAGCTTCTCATCCAACTAGCCATTCCATTCTTATGCATTACGATCGTATAAATTATTTAACACCTAAATTAAGCAGAATCTGTGGGGCAGGTGATATAAACCAAATACGGACAGATGTGTCTCATGGTGTAGTCAAACTAGCCTCCCTTGGTCGGGGTGAAGCTATGGGGGGTGGGGAATGTGCCCCCCCATGCACTCTCCACTAAAACACGGACGACTGGATACGTGTATTGAACAAGACTAATAAAAGCTTGCCCTCGAAACACCACACCACGGAAAGCTGGTGCCCCCCCACTAGTAAAATCCTAGCTATGCCACTGCCGTGGATGATCCATGTTACTCTTGGTTTTGTCTCGAGAAAGTTGAATGCTCCACAGATCAGCCTGAGAGGCTCGGGTGCTACACCATTCCAAGCAGTTAATAATTGTACAATACGGGATACATTGCATGTACAGTCAATCGAACCTCATTAATAAGAGCAGTTAAAATAACATTCTGCTTACAGCAAGGAAATTTTCTAGTCCAAATTCTTTGTTTTCATTCCTGACAGTAAATACAAGGCTCCTGCGATAACAAGATAACCTGTCCATCCAAGGAACCTCTTACTAACGAGATTCAATTGTACATGTGAGCAAATGTATACATGTGTGTACATGCTGTGTGTCGGGAGTGGAGTTGTCAAAAACGTCGCCACTTTGCGCAGGCACACTTGACGGATGACCCAAATTTACAGCATCGCCCAGCCATATCAGCGTCGCCCTTTGTAACATCCCTACATCGTCACAAAAAAAACACCAAAGGTCACGCACCTTGTGTTCCACTATGCAAGCCACAGGCAACATAATCAGTGTGCCCTTTCTTTTAATACCAATAAACCTTATCGCTACAAGTACTTCGTAACATGTGATCGAAGAAAACTTAACTCTGTCTGCTCATAGGATAACCACCGACGGTGTATTTTATAAGGTGTCTAAAAAAGCCTGACATCCCTCTAGTAGAAAAGCAAACGCGGGGAAACACTACAGTGTCATCGAGTATGATCATGCAAGAACTAAAGGGTTGTGAAAACTGGGTTTCCCGCAAGAAAGACCTACATTAAGAGACTTGCATTAATTTCAATATTCTGTGCATAATATGGGTAGACTGTGATGGACCCTACGATGCATGCAGCGTTCCCGGCACAGCTCCTTGGAATTGTGGCCCACAGAGATGGCAGCGGGTCCGGCTGCCACATGAATTCAATGTGCGTGCGGTCAGAGCCAACATCGGCACGCTACAAATTAGCAGGTCCATACTAGGCACATGTACATGCATTGGAAAGTTATCACGCGGAGACATGTACGTGTGCTCGTCCACATGTACATGTAGGCTCCATGTGGATATTATTAAATGTACACGTGGGTCATTCCATGAGGCTGGGACACAATTTGTGACGGTGTCCTTGTTACATGGGTAACTTTTATCACCTGTCATGACCTGTAGAGTAGGTCATTCACTCTTTTTGAATTAACACACACCTCTGTTTTCAGCCTTGCAAGATGTATAATTTGGAATCCACCTGCAGGGAAACAGCTATTCATTTTAACGAGACCCACTTAACAAAGGACATCGTCAAAAATTGTGCCCCAACGTCACGGAATGACCCAAATGTACGTACATGTGGATGTACAAATCTGGAAGCACACGAGCTGCAAGTACCTAAAACTAAAATGCAAATCTACACGGATTCTATTACATAAAAAAAATTCCAACAGAAGCTGCAGGTGAAATTCCCTTACAATTCTTTCTAGCCAGTTTTTATGCAATTCCTAAGTGCCCACTGAAGACTTCCACTACTAACCTTACCTGGCCCAATTTGGTTTACACAAATGGCACCATCCTTGGACTAGTGCTGTGTACATGGTGTAGGTATACTGTAATTTATAATGCCTCGGAAGTAAACTTGTCCCAGTCCACCCCAAGATCCAACTTGACACTTGCATAAGACTACATAAACATTAAATTCGTTACTTTTCATCTTTCTCAGTTACAACATGATTTAGATTAAGGATTAGCTAGTAATCTGAATTAAAATTAGCTCGGTAAATCATTTAATACATTGGATGAGAGAGAAAAAAAATAAAGCTGTCAAATATTACAAAACTATTAACGTAAAAACTACATGAAACACCTCTTTTCAAAGTCCACTCCATTCTCTTCATAATTGTTTCTTGAGTAATTGATGGCAGGCCTGTTACTACTAAATTCACAGGGCAGAAAATTATTTATTGATTAGCAAAAATTCTGCAAGATGTTCCTGCAGAAATTGTTTCTCTTTACACATCTGCAGTGTGCATTTAGCACAGCCAACAAGCCTTTGGGACACAATTTGAATGTACAATTGTACTTGTAACTGCTACTGTCAACGATGAAACAATATTTCCCTCGATAGCATGAAGCCTATACACGTGTAGCCCAGAACTTTAAGCAAGGTTGCTTTCATTATCAAGTGCTGCCATTAATGAAATTCAAGCATTACCATATCAGCCTTTGCATTTAACATGATCAGTCAGGTATGATTTAAATTACTAGTAAATATTGTCAAATTGTGCACGCGTAGTTATGGCATCAATTAAAATCTGCTCTTCTTTTGCACTTGGAGCAAAACTTGATTCTCACATGGATAAAAGGTCGGTGACAGAGTAACTTTCAGTGGAATGGATAATTCACTTGGACATGCTTAAAATGAGAAACATGTAACTGGCTTTTTTTTTAAACAGCAAGTGATAATTAGTTTTGGAGAAGTCCTGAGTTAAACCAATGCGGTCCAGCACTGCCTTGTGGCTAAGATCATCCCATTACAGCACTGGAACCAAGCGAAAAGAAAAAAAATAACACACAGTGGAATGTCCAGAAATAGTAGACATACCTCTGACCAGGAGTATGGTGAACACACGGCCTAGCCATGAACCATGTACTGTACATACACATGCACTGTACTTTGGCATTCAGTGCATGCATATGCAAAGTTTGTTCAGACAACATAACTCCATAGACAGAGGAAAATGTAAGATCTCAGATCTTTGTTTCGCTTTGTTATGCATGACTGATAACACAGGGTTTCTGATACAACAGGGTAATTTGTCAATTCCACAGTGTTCCAAAGGACCTTGTTCAAAGACAAATGTAATGTGAGACCGAGTATGGTGCACGTACACAGTGCATGTACATGTACATATGAATACTGTGGCCACGTACATGTGCATGGAGTGCAAGATTGTGTGTGTTGTTAAGGGACCAACTCCAAAACACCCACGCATGACCGCACACACCACGGCAAATAACCTGGCCCTATTATGGAAGCACCATGCTGTGGTCTGACTAAGGAAAGTGGAATTATGGTTTCACAAGCCATTTAGTTTTTCTTTTCTCCAAGTCTTTTTCTCGTCTGCAGACTATTCTGTTCTCTTTCCCAGACATGACTGATAAATAATTTTTTCGTTTTTCAAAAAGATCAACACATTTCTCCACAATTTGTTTCTTGCACAATTTGATGTAGTTCATTTCCATAAATGTCTCGTTTATTCAGTACTAGTTCCAACAAGATCTATGCAGACTATGCAGACTGCGTAAAATCAGGCCACATCCTGTAGGCACGTAGGCCTGAGTAAATACTATGTGTTTATTTTATCATGTCACACTGAGCTCATTCATTAGTTTTCTATTTCTCTCTCTCTCTCTGGGGTGGTGTCATTTCGATTAGAACTGAATCTTCCTGGTTTTTTTATTTTCATTTTTAAAGAACAAAACAATTAATATCCGCCTCCAGTCATGCATGCCTGATGACAATTGTTAAATTCTAAAATTCCTGGACAAGTACATGTGTGCATTCAAGCACAGGTCTATTTTTCAGACAACCTAGACATGATACACAAATTTCCCCCTATTCTTGGCCCTAAGTTGATTAATTTTTTTTAGTTTACATTTTAAGTCATGATTCGGATAAAATAAATGCTGCAAATTCTAACACTTGACTGGTTGTTACAATAATATGGGTGCCCCTGCATGTGTGATGCAGTCCCTCCCTAAGTACATGGAAAAAGTTTGGTCTTCATTTACTTTACGGTGACGGCGAATAGGCAAAAGCGATGATTTTGAGTCACAGTGGTGTTCCAATGGGTTTCAAAGTCCATTGGCTTTAACCTGTAACTAAGCAAAAAGCAATGGCCGATTGTGGCAATACAGGTTGCAATTTGCTGCGGCGACATTTTTCCTGCATTGACTTGTTTGTTTTCCAATCAGGAAATTCATTTAATAGGTGCTGGCTGTTGAGAGATGGCTTTAGTTTTTTTGGTTAGTGACCCCTTTTTCAATGGGTCTTGCTTTTCTTTCATAGCTAACAAACTGAAGGTTACTCCTACCTAAATAGATTGAAAAAATGCTTTGGGATTTGAAAAATGAAACAGTGAACAGTATTTTTCCGGTTGGCCAGCAGTGAGTTTCACCTTGATGTAGTAACTGGTAAAAACAAAAGTACCAAATTTGTAGATGGCCGATGTGAAGCAACGAAATGCTGACAACAGAAATAATTGCCTACCACTTTTGAATTGTCCCTCAACTGAAATCCTACTGAGGGTTAGGTCATGACAAAACTTGGCAAGGTCATGGAAGTACATTCCATTCGACTTTTTTGTTCTGTTTTTTCCTTTTCCTGCTCACCGGTTGCTTGATACTGGAACCCGGATGTACCATTTGCATGAGATTACATGTGTGGCCCTCCATTTCCTGGTGCAGCTTATGCGGGAGTGGCCCGACCTACAGTAAACAGTTGAAAATATTCTTTATTTCCTTCTAGCTGAACCGGCTCCTAAATTCAGAGTGTACTGTGATGGCAGACTTCACAATGACAGTGCTGTTACACTGTACCTCTGCATGCCACAGACAGGGCTATGGCCGCATGCACACTCACAAATTTAATTTCGAGTCGTCTTCATTTCTGTGGAATGGATAAGTTGGCCAGCGGCCACATCGTTCTGAAGTGTTGTTACCTTTTGGGGCTAGATGGAATTTGGTTTGAAGCTGGGACTTTGAACTGCAAAAGAAACACAAAAGGGCTGAATTTTGAACACAAGCGATTCACAATGCAGTGCGCCACCAAGAGATTTGTCATGAAGTGGTGATCCATCCCAGCGCATTGTAATTTAGGCACAGCCGAATGTATTCAAAACTGCGCAATGGCAACTTATTTTTTGATTTCCAGTGCGTACAATTCACCGTTAGTTAAGGGTATCGATCACTGAATTGCAATGAGGGCTCAAGTTTTAAAGTAATGCACAGTAGCGCTACAGTAATGGCAATCGGTATTCTTGAAAGTTGTGTGGAGTGTGCATGTGACTCACACAGCGTGCATGCGACTTACAGAGGATCTCAGGCCTAATTATGCAAATGGCCCTTTGTTGTGACCAATTACAATCATCAGTCCAACTGGATGATACCGGGAATTCCAAACAGTCAGAATGCCCCCCTGGCATGCATCAAGTGACCTTTTCGTCGACTGCTGGTGTCCAGTTCCCATTCCAAAGGTGTCCAACCCGGTCACTGGTGTAGTCCGTGCCCATTCGTAGCCGTCTCTTGGGATGTTCTCTCATCTTTTGCTGGTGCTTTGTGTGCCCTCTGGTAGGCAGAAATGGGAACATCTGCGTGGTTGCTGGTTGTGACGTGTGTGTGTGTAGAGTGTACACAGTCAACATCATTGGGGGTGATCCAAAGTTTGGTGACACAGAAACAGAAGGGATGGCTCCTGTTGCCCAGGGAGGAGTTTGGCTGTGTTTGCTGTTCGGATAGACGGTGGGGTCCAGAGTCCATTGTTGAGGGGTGGGGTGAACATATCCATGCCTGATAGGGTTAGCACAAAGCTTGAGCGAGTAAGTACAATATCTTCTGCAGTCCCGAAATGGACCTGACAAGGAACTTGATTTTTGAAGTGGGTGTCCCCAGCAGAACAGCTTTAGGAACCAAAAACAAGCAGCAGGCAGTTCTGAATTTGTTGTCTTTTGTAAACGACTGGCATGCATTCTTTCCAGCACTTTTGGTCAGGCCATGTTGCAATACACACGAGGCCCAAAGTTCCTGGTTCTCAGAAAACCGGGTCAGGCAGTCTTTTCTTTCCTTTTCACCGACCGCAACAAGTCCCAGCAGCAGCAGCAGCGGATGGCTGCCCACGATAGTTCCTCCAGGCAGTTTCCTCCTTTGAGCCACGGACCGCTTAGGCAGCGGAATAAATGGCTTCTGGCTTGCCACAGCCCCGGCGAAATGGAGGGCTGTGGCTTGAGCGAGGGGTGCACTGTAGATGTTTCTAAGGGGGGTGCAACTGAGGGGCTTGACAACTGGCCCTGCATGCCAAATTTGTAAGAAAACCTGTCCAGTCCACACTTAGGCAGCAAGTGGAAGATGCGTCATCACAGGCGGGACGACTTGCGCTCGTTTCGGTCCATTCCCTGGCAAAGCATGCAGTGGCGGTTCTGGGCTAGCATGTGTGAATTTCGGAATTTGGTATAGCTGCAGTCAAGCATGTCTAGCACTTTTCGGGGGGAGCACTGAATTGGTTCACGACAGACAGCAATGGAACTTTCGCAAGGAGTTCAAATTAACACCATGGATTCATCGGAAGACCAGAATGACCCAGTTGGACTGGTCTGTATGCTTTGCCATGATCCAACCCCCAAAACCATAGACGCATAAAGCAAGTCCGAAACCGTCGTTTGTCTTTTTCATGAGGTGAAGTCTCTGTTATCCAAAATTAGAGCATGTTCGTTCGGGGGCTGACTGCACAAAATGAATAATGCATGAAGTTACAAGCAACAGCATCTCCAACCACGTGTCATTTTTTTAAAGCATTTTGTTTTTCTGGAGCACTGAGGAAGGGGCGTACGTAGTGATTTGACTGCAGTAAATGGCAAAGTTCCAGTTGAAGGGGGGGATGGGGCGGGGCATTCCATCTGATTCAGAAGCAAGTTTCTGAAACTTGTTTTTAAAACCCGGCTGGGACGAAAGTTACTCGTTACAAAATGCCAAAAAGAGAGGAGTGGGGAGAAGCGGGGTTACATGCCCAAACTCTCCAAGTATTCTGCGATGACGCCTACAGCTTTGTTGGTGTTTCCTTGCTGGCCCCCTTCCGGGCAATGCGCCAGGACCAAGGCCGTCTTTGAAGATTGGATGGAGAGAGCCCCGTCACCCTTTTTCTTAGCGTACACACATTTTTTATCCTCCTCCCGCAGGAACTGAAACTTGACACCCTCAGCCCTAACGCCGCCAGCCATGAACGTCGTGAAATCTTTGGCCTTGAAGGCTCGGGCGATGTTGGCCGCCTCGTCCGGGGTCAGCTTGAGCGCATTCGCGTGGCCGTCGGTCGTCCACTTGGCGCCGCCATCGATGCCGATGATCGCACACTTGTCGACATGAGCGTTGCCGCCTGAATCTTTGCTCTGGGCGATCAGGTTATCGAGGTACGAATCCCACGACATCTTCCCAGGCTTACCAGTCAATGTCCACCTGTCGAAAGGGACGAAAATTGGGCTAAATGTTCCGATTAAATTTGGCTGAATCTCCACCCTACTTGCCCGTGAATGCTGCCACAGTTAGATTTCCCAATATCCGTGTGCAATTCAGCGCATGTGCACGTTTACCGGACAAAATGGAGCCCCACCCATAATGCATTCCGAAGACTATGGAGAGCCTCTACGTCTAAATAGCATAGCAGCTTTTGCGGTGTGGGCGGCCAGCGTGATCGGCCTGAATTCAGTCCTCTAAGAATTTGTTTTAAGGCAAAAACTTTAAAATTGTCCAATATTAGGGATCATCCTTTTTATTTTACCCATTCGTGAGGGTTCAAAACGTACTCTTTACTGTTTGCCCCCAAAGCGCATGCTGAAAGGGATTATGGCTGATCGACATTTTGGTTTATGAAAGCTGCAGAAATCTAAATGGACTTTTAACCATCCCCTCTTAAAGAACATTTTTGAGGCTTGTGAAAAAGGACGAAAAATTAAATACCTCTTGCTCTTAGTAAGTTGCAGGTTGATGACATTGCCATTGTTTTTATATAATTGGACCTTAACCCGAAGTTTTCATGAAAATGACCACTGTGAAAACATTGAAAAATTGAGACATTTTTGCTAGCCGTCTCTTGGATGCATGGGCATCTTCTCGATCGTGTGGGGGGGCATCAACTTACACTTTTATTGTGCACACCATGTTTATTATCTTATTCCATTTATAAAACTCAAAAGGGGAAATCCTCGATTCATCAATTCCTTAGTATTTTGTTTTGCTTAAAACATGGAGGGGACATTCGATACAGTGTCCCCCATACCAAATTCATGGGGGGGGGGTGACATGTCCCCCAGTCCCTCCCCCCCCCCGGATTTCCGTCCACTGGATGTATTTCCAAAACCAACCTTCAACTTACGTGTAACTCACTCATCCAAGAAATGGTAGGATGTTCTCTGACTGAATTGCTCTATCACCCCACCCCCCCATTAAAAAAATAACATAAAATAAAATAAAAAAATGCATTTAATACCACAAAAAGTTTGGGGTTCCCCTTTCGAGGGTTTACAATGTGAGCATACAAGTGGGAATTTGGAACACCAATTCTTTCTTATGCGCAGTACTGTTAAACGCAAATTCATCTCCGATTTGTTTGATTGGCGCGCCGTACATTCTTATCCTCCGCACGTAACTGTCTGCAGATTATGATGTAAATTTAACATTCAGAATGGTAGCCAGTGGCACAGGGTACCAGCTAATTCTGCGGTTAGTACTAGCAACCCCGTCCCTGAACACTTTCTGTGACTGACTTACTTAAAAGCCCTGGGGACAAAGTTTAATGATCTCATTAATACTCACTTGTGTTACACGCATGTGCTTTCGTTTGAGCTCGTCCCCACGCGTGCTGGATTGGGCTAATTCCTTCTGGCGGCCGTGGATGACGTATTTCTTTCAAATACTCATCCGTGCGCGAGGGTTGCACGACACCAAGTAAGCACCCATAGAACAGTGCAAAATCGGACCGAAAGAGCGCCGCCTGTTGACTCTCGTGAAGAGTTGGCCTCCATTTTTTTCACTGGAAGTTGAGGATTATGGCCAGAAGATTACTTTTCGTTTCAATTTCATGGGGGTTAGCCATGAAAATATATTTTCATTCGCCTTTGAACGAAGATACCCCCAAAATTGCAGTAAAACTAAGCGCTCATTTCTGAATGTAGCCGCCCGCCTCTATCCAAAAAAGATCCGCAATTTGGGCTTTTAGTGAAAGAAACTCCGAACTGGAGACTATCAGTCCTAAATTCGGGATTGATAGAAATATTTCTATGATGCCTCCTGATTATGGCCTGTCTTATTGTAAAATCCCGTGGGATCACAAAATATTAATGAGCTCGCGCGCAGAAATACAACCATTTAGTGCACCCGAGGGATACAGTCAAGTAATTCAAGCCCCGTTGAAATAGTGTAAAATCAGCACTGTTCAGGGCCCAAAACACGCAAGCCAACGTCCCTGAGATTTCTGAAACACAAATGAAATTCTTGTCTGGTCACATGTCTTTCAATTTTTTTGTGGGTTAACCAATTACACTTTTAATTATTCCCACAAAACAAAATCACACCACCAAAAATGATTTTTCCGAAGTCTGATTGCAGCCATTTTTCAAGTGGCAACCCTCAACTTTCTTGCGCGCTAAGGACCATTTTTCAACCGTACTAAATAGTAGTTTTTAGCCATTCTGCTCTCATGTGAAAGCTCAAAGACCCAGGGAGTTGATCCCGGCAACGAGTTACACAAATCATCATTCTGGGGGCCAAACAATCCTCTTTTTCAAAAGATACTGGGGGCACTTTTAATGCTAATGAGCTGGTCAGAAATTCTCACTTGAACTAATGGTCTGCTGACCCCGAGGATGGAGGAGTAGCATTGTGAAATTACCCACAAGCGCTTGCGATGCATTTACTTCCATCACAGAATTTTGTAAAGCGCATTGGCACATCCCAACCCAGAGCACTACAAGGAAATAAAATCGAGAGGAAACGTCTAGAAACCTGTGTATAACTGAACTTTGAATTCAGTATACCACAAAATGCCAAAACGTTACTGTTTTCACAAAGATCGATGTTGTTTGCGAGCTTTGAAATACAAACGATTTGCTCAATGAAGGTTTGATCACGCTCGCAAATTTGAAATTTTCCTCATGAATAGCTGGTATTCGTTTGAAGTTACCAACCAAACTGCTACAGAAAAACAACGAGAAAGAAGGATGGAGGACAGAAAAGGCCCAACTGATCACGAACATGTACAGTGGCAGGTCCCTTCGGGGGGTGGGCAGGGCCCCATGAAAGAAAAGAAAAGAATTGAGATTTTATTTCGTATTTTTCTTACTTCCAAGAGCTCCCATGATGCATCGAGACAGTTATTATTATTATCACAATTAAATTAAATTTATATCACGGTCATTCCATGCAATGTCCACGAGCGCATTACAATGAATATTACGTATATGTATTCAGTTAGGAAAGACAAAAATCTACAAGAATTTACAGTAAAATAAACAAAAATATATTACGCAACTACCCAAAATAAAAACAACACAACCAATGTCAAGAAATAAAAATACTACAGTATGAATTAAACCTGAATCTGTACATACACATTATATGTTAGCTCTCACTGGAAGAACAATGAGAAAGTCCAATAAAACGGCCAGAAAGTTCCAGTGATCCTTTCATAAGGATCTCGAAATGTACACGTTACAAATTCATAGAGAACCCCCTCCATTTGCAAGGATGCCCCGCCCATTCAAAGACGGTAAACAGCGCCCCCATTGTTTCATCCGCGAAAAAATTATTTGTCCGTTTGTATCTGGACTTCTAATTCTTCCGGTGAGTGCACACATACACTTACCTTATGGGGACCTGATCATTGTGTAACGTGAAAATTGTAAACACATGAAACAACTGGGTCTACGGTATGTCATGTATGACATGTGTGATGTAATTTAATGTATATGTACGTGTGTTAGTTTTGTTTAACGCGTAAGTTACCCCTTTTTGCATTATGTTTAGGCTGGAATGGTGAAACAGCGGTTTGGATGCGCTGGAATCCAGGATGGCAGTGAGAAAAGCAGACTTCCTGGTCCTCGGTGGTGGTGCCAGCGGCTTGTCAGCTGTTTTTTACCTTCAACGATTGCTCGGGGATCAACGTAAACAAAATCATGACTTGCACGTGCATGGATATGACGAACGTATTAAAGTGAGCAAAACGTGTATTGATAATACGGAGTCGAGTGTTGAATTGATACGGATTTGGTCCAGTACCTAGAAAAGACCCCAAGGAATTAGGGTTCATTTCAGAAAGATTTCCCAAAGGCCCCTATGCCGTATGCGGACGCCACTTGACATGCTTGACATAAAGCCCGGCAGTGTTTTAATTCAAATGCTGCATTAATCCTCCTACCTGTACATGTCCCATCAATTATCGTTCCTGTTTATAGGGATGGCGGTGCATTTTTTCCACTCAGGCAATGCCCTTGAATTGAGGCCCAAGCCATAGAACAAACCCAGGCATACCTGTAACATGGTTTTTGTTTGGAGAAAATGCGCCAAGGCAATCTGGAGCTAGAGCTGTTTATACATGTAGTTGAGCCAACTCTAATGCTTGACCTTTCACCTAGCTGACCTCGGGCCATCAATCACTTATCATCATGATCATGGATGGTTCAACATGTTTGACAGCACAGATATACGTGAATAGAAACAGTTGCTCTGCATGTGTTTTCTTTAATATGGAACACCAATACGTATTTGCACAACTTCATGTGTATGCGGCAGCACGGACATCTGGGAGTTTCACAAAATTGTGGGTAGCAACCACACTGCGCTGATGAAAACAAAGCAACGAGCACACGCGTACGGACTGACCAAAGAAAAGATTGTGTAGCCCAATCCTCGGACCGGCTGGTGCGTGCGTAGCGTTGCCATGGTCGTGCCATTTTGCAAGAATCCCAAATGTCCCAATGAGTGACTTCGGCATCGGAAGGTTAATCCTGAGATTTTATATTTTAATTTGTGTTAATCCCCTGAATTCAGTAGCACACCAGAGCATTAATGATTAATCATCTGCTTAGATCGCTTTGCTTGAAGCTGGTCCACGCGTTGGAGGCTGGATTCACTCATTGCACACTGCAGAGGGCAGTATTCACGAGACCGGTCCACGAAGCATGAGGCCTGCCGGTGTAGTGGGGAGAAACTCACTCAACCTGGTAAGCACCTCAGGAAGAGTTTTTACGAGTATTATGATTATTTAGTTTCTGGTAATGACACCAGGGATTTCTCAAAAGCACTTTAGGCACCAGGGATTCCTCAGAAGTGCCCTAGGCACTGCAGCTTGCAAGCCTGAAGAAACCTGTAGAGAGGAGACATTGAGAAGTAACTTTACACTTTCAGAGGTGGAAGGCAAACCCCAGAGGAATATTCTAGGTGAACCAACAGAATCAGGTCGGGTCTGAAAACCCAAACCACATATAGACCGAGTGGAGAATAGGGGCGAATCACAAGAGTGCGCCTCCAAGAGTTCGCAACGCGTTGGCCAATCACAATACTCAAAACCTGTCGACCCTTTCCAAATATTGTGATCGATCAGCGCGTTGCAGACACTCGCAATTGTGAAACGCCCGTATCGAACCTGGACTGCAGAGGTGAAAGACGAGGAAACAACCACTATACCAACCTGACTCCGTTCTGTGTCCAGACGTCACTTGACACCCGGTGTGCAAACCCTGTTCGATGGATCTGAACAAATTTCAAGTGTGTTCTATGTACATGCATAAATATATTCCCTGCTAAACCTGATCTTTCCCCTGCTTTCTGGTGGCTTTGACTGCGAGGAAGTATTTGTCATATCAATTCAGGGTTCTTCCCTGTGCAACTTTTCTTTAATAGCTCGAGTGTTGTCTTGCATGGTAAAAGAATTAGTTCTTGTCTTTTTTGTGGTGTAGGTTGGTGTGTTTTTGGTCTATAAATTTTCTACTTCTGTTTTAAAGATAATTTGTTAGTATGACTGGACTTGTGAAGGAGCTTACAGAAGGACTTACGTGTGTGATTGACTGAACAACAGCACTGATGGAATCTATATTTTCATAAGCAACAAGGGAAATGTTGATTGGGCATATGACACTTGTCAGTGAAGGGGTGCGAACTGTAAGTAATTCAGCGCTATAATTTTTTGTTATCCAACCAAAAAACTAGGCATCGGCTCTTGGTCTCTCTGAGGAAGTCATTCCAGTTCTGCGCTCGCATCCCGCCGCCCAGAGGCGCTTCATTTACACCCGGGGCAAGCTCCACCAGTTCCCCTCCAGCCTGGCCACCCTTCTGCGGAGGCAGGAACCGTTCTCCAGGCCGCTGGCTTGGGACCTGGCCCGGGAGGTGCTGGTCAGGAGGTCGGAGGTCGAGGATGAGAGCTTGTATGACTTTGGCCGGCGCCGGTTTGGGAAAGAGGTGGGTTTGCTGTTGAGGAGGAGGTTGAACACAGCATCACATAGCTTGTGTTTGTAGTGCCTTGTGGGATATCAGAAAAATAGCCGAGACCCCAAAAGGTCCATGTGAGCCGTTTAACACATTGATTGCCGTGCATGATTTCAAAGGAGCGTTCCCATTTGCCAAGCGTTGTACGCATGCACTCATATTTTAGTGGGAACCTTTCTCGTGTCTGTTCAAACATTCATGAGCACTTTACAGCGTTGTGTCCTCACTGCCAGCAGCGTAGTTGTTATGTTCTGCGGCGATGCCACTGTATTCAGTTTTACATTACAATAGCCTTTCATTTCCTACGAGTCCACTCGTAGTCGCAATCAACATGTTATTGCAATACTCCACAAGGATTTCATGAAACAGATAATTATTTGCAGTTTACTCAAAAAGCAGAAATTTCCAAGGTATGCGCATCATCTGCCGGTTTGGACATAAATGTACATGTACATCTTTCGGATATATCCGAGGTAGAAAGGGACTGCAGTACGGGCATGTCTTCAGTCTTCCCCAAATTTGTCCCTGTGTGCGTAAGAACTCACCGTTTCCCGTTTCCCCCCCCTCCAAGATTACAGAGAACTTGTTGGACCCTTTCTGTCGAGGTATATTTGCCGGGAAGACCACGGAGCTCAGCGTGCGCTCCTGTTTCCCGCCGCTGTTTAATTTCGAGAAGAGGCGGGGCTCCGTCATCCTGGGCGGTCTGCTGGGGCCAGCCGGTGAGTCACTGTCGCAATGCTAAAGGAATTCGAAACACACAGTACATCAGTTGAATCTTCTCCCCACATATATAATCAGAAAGACTAGCACCAGCATACCTCGACCATCTCATCAGGCCAAAGGTCTCGACCTCATCCATCACCCCTCCGGTCTCATTCCACATCACATTTATATCTTGGCTAAAGGCCCATGCACCTGCTCTCTCGATTGAATTGGTTCCCACTGCTTATTCAAGACTCCGCCAAAAGTAGACACGTTCATGACTCAACTAAAGACACACTTATTCAAACTTTGAATAGCCCTTAAAACACCTGTTTATAAAGCGCTTTATAAATGCAATTTGTTATCGTTACTATTAAGTGCAAACAAAAACAAATACTTAACAGATGGCCTTCGCCACATTCAACTGGAGGGACGCGTTTATACCGTACCTACTGTATAAACACAACAAGGCGAATTCTGTATGCAGTACTAGCTGATGTCTGTATATTTCTCCACATACTTGAGTGATTCCCATTGAGAAAAAGTACGCTAACAGAGGCTTGAACCTACCTGTAGTCCATGGAGGTTACCCATGTTTATGTGGGCACTCAACCGCTGTGCTTCACGAAAGCGATGACGCGGTGAGAAATGGCGCGCAAATCGTGAACAGACGATCACAGAGGTCCGGCATGTGTCAAAGGCAACTTTTGCGAAGGGCCGTGGCTGTAGTGTGTAAGTTCAGTTTGGAATAACATCATCCGCAAGTTCACTTTGTGGGAGCGAGTGACTTTTTTTCCTTTGTTGTTTTAACTCGTCATCCCCACTTTTTGTGGTTTTTTTTGGGTGATATTGTGAAGCCACTGACCCAACTGTAGGGGAGAGCGGTCTTGTCCAGCGGGCCAAGAGAGAAGGATGGTCCATCTGGTCACTGAAAGGTACAGGAATGTATAACTTCATTTAGACACAAGTCTCCAAGTAGTGGACCAACCTTGCAGTTCCAAATGAAGTTGTTTCGAGGCTCAAGGCCCAAGGGCCTTTTAAATAAGGGAATAAATAGGTGCTTGACTGGTCATACACTTGCATTTAAGACCAGCTCAGGAGAATAGATGCATTACCAGCATTCAGTCTCCTGAGCTGGTCTTAAACTAAGGTTTAAGACTGGCCAAGCACATATTTGTATCTCTTCATAAATGCCATCAACATATGATGGATTTCCAACGATTTTGTCAAAGTAAAACTTGCTTTTATTTTCCCGAACATCCCCGTCCATTTTATGGTAAATTCCTATTGAAAGTTGTCCAATTGAATCTTTTTTAATAAAGTGAGGGCACTCCTGACCAATCAGATTCGATTAAACCGTCTGGTATCCATGGTCCAGCTTGTGATTTATGCAGTGGGCATTATCACCTCTTGGTGGGCACTATCAATTGTTAATACACGGTCACATGACACGTTTTGACCAATAGGATTAGAAAAAGTGTCCCAAGTATTTATGAACACTTGTTCCATGGGTCCCACAGTGCAACATTCACAGACATCTATTTCCCAGTCTTTGTTAGTGTGGAAGTCTCGCATTTTGCTTTAATGACTTCACAGGTGGCTTGCAGCATCTGGCGGAGAAACTCGACGAAGTTGTCCGCAAAAATGGAGCCGAAGTGCAGATCCAAAGGCCGTGCACCAAGATTGAGTTTGTCCAGAAGCCAGAAAGTGGGACCAAGAAGGTTTGATTTGTCAATCTTTTTTCATAATCGGACGTCTTCCAGTCCTGAGAACCATGGATAAATGCCTTGTGTGCCAACCTTGCCATCTGTGTGTGGACCCAAGAAGAAAGGCATGTGGAAACAGGGGTTGTGGGCACCAAACAACGTTGTGGGGACGCATAAGTGCCCTCACTACGCATTCCAAAATTTCCTAACAAAACAAATTGTCCCCTCCAGGGTAATTCCAGAAATTAGTGGTCCATTTTTTTTCATGTCCCTGTCACATCTGACATATGATTTTGTAAGTTCAGAACGCATTCTCTAACTTCCAAGAGTGGTAAAATAATGTAAATTACCTGCCAAACAAATAATAATTGTTGAAATCAATTCCGGTGATATTTATATGTCAAATAACAAAGATAAGATGTAACAGGGACACGAAAATGTCACACTTTTGGACCCCCAATTTCTGGAATTAACCTCAACACAGTAACACTTAGGGAACACATTCTAGTACTGTACTCACATGTTGCCAGTAAGTATGGGCTTGTACGGCTTGACAACAGCGGACACACACACACACGTAAAGGAAACCAAAGACTTGTCCTCTGTAGTCGTATTTTTGCTCAAAGCCACTCCTCAGATGTGGGTGTGTGCATAGGCCTATGGGAGAAAGTCACATAGTAAGGTTTCAGAAATTGGGAATACAGCATGGTATTTCTTTGGACAGATTGCCCGAGTGCACACGACCGAGTCAGTGTGGGAAACCGACCGACTGATCTGCTCAATACCAGCTGCAAGTATGTTTGTCCATCATTGATAGCTCCAGTCATTTTGATTAATTAAAATATAGTCATGCAAGTACCAAAGACCTACAATACTGCACAATCATGTTCAAGGGCAGGGGACCAACGGGGGGTGTCAAAGGTCAAAGAAAGAACCCACAAAATTCTTAAACAACCAATGAGAGAGAGGCAATTTTGTTCGTCTGTTTCATTTCTCTTCCCACAAGCGTGTAAAAAATTCCTGAAGATGTAGCATCTCTCCACAGAAAGGCTACTAAAGGTGATTGAAAACAATTGGCCCCCCCTAAAAAACGAGATTGCCCCTGCCCCCCAAAAATTTAGTTCTGGTTCAGTCCTTAGTCATGTTTTTCCGACCGTACGCATAATGCACGCATGTAGTTCTTTCACTGAAAACTGGTTGCTAAAGACCCCACACGTTCCGTTCTGTAACACGTACATGTGCATTGTACCTCTAGTTTTTATATTTTGGGGTTTTTTTCACTTTCACTCATTAAGGTAGAGTTAACTTCCTGGTATAGATAGCTTCTGTGCTATTTCTTTTTGACTGCTTGATGACCTGCACTGCAGGAGTTTTCTCACGTTGGAAAGCCAATCAAGGGGGCTTGATTAACAACCCACATCCAACGTGAAACAATACCCAAAAGGCCCCCAAAATTTATTTCACCACCTGTTAAAATATTTGTTGTACACGCCGAGGAACCGATTTCCTTTTGGTAAATTCTGAGCTTGTTTCTCAACACCGTAGTCTTGTGTGCTAAATATTTTTATGCTCGTTTCTCCCGATGTAGTTGAATGACTTGCTGTTGTTTCTTCAGATCTGGCGGATCTACTTCCTGGTGACCTATCGCCCTTATCCATGCACCTGCGGCAGATAGAGAGCGTCACAGCCGCCGTGGTCAATCTAGAGTTTGAAGGCTCTCACCTCCCCACAGAAGTATGGCCGAAACCCCCTCTCCCGACACAAACATGGCCCAACCCAAACCCAGACCAGATGTAAAGACAAACAATCTTTGGCAGAACGTAGCCAGTGTGCGCTAGGGCCTCAAAATTGCAACGGCAGGCAAACTGTAGTTATCACAACTCAAACAACCGATCAACTTACAGGGCCTTTTCATTTGTTAGGTGCAGCATTTTTCTCCTCATTAAACCACAGGTTCACTTGTTCCTGAGACCCAGTGCTTCAGGCTAATGTAAGGCCTATTAAACATTTCTTGGCCTTGAGATTAAAATTACAAGTCCGTCCTTGCTTATTTGATCAGAGTATGTTGTATGTGATTAAAAGTCCGTATCAAATATTGTATTTGAAGATGTGTAGCACGGATGTTTTATTAAAATAAATTAACCCCCATGTCGGAGGTCTGATTGTAAGGATCACAGTGAATCGGCCATTATTATTATTAAACTGGTTTATTGCCACTTACTGGCAACCCTAAGGTTGAATAGCAAAGTGATACATCAAAATACATTAAAAATCGTAACAAATGTGTATAAGAAATATTGCAATAGATCATAAAATAATGAAAACGTCAGAACCATAAACAATACACGTAAGTTCTATTATAAAAAAGCATTGGGATCATGTAATATGCATTAAGAAACATTACATTATCGTATATACTAAGACACCAGAGGAAAAAATGGTCATCAGTAATGCCCTGTATTGCCATATAAACCCCTATCCTGTGAGGCATTTGGCCTGTATTTAGGCCTATAAGATGGTCACAATTTGGAAACATTCAAAATGTGGACTTACATTTGACTTGGCTGAGAATATATCATTATTTTCTCCCGTTTCCGTATTCGAATGTTTTCAGGGTTTTGGTTATTTGGTACCTTCGCACGAACCGTCCAACGTGCTTGGAGTGATATTCGACTCGTGCGCCTTCCCGCAGCATGACAGGCCTGGAGTGAAGACAACGCGAATGACAGTAAGTCCGTCATCTTGTTAAGAAACTCAGAAATTGAGAAGCAGCAACTCCCCGAGGTATTGGAAGATGACAAAGTAGCTCCCAAGGGTCACACCATAGACTGCATAATTATAACAAAGTCTTGATTTGCAGTCTTCCTAATAAACAGCTCACAGTGGTCACTCGGAAGCTGCCAGCGGCCATCTTTCCATGCGGAATACAAAGCTTTAATATTCAAAGGCTTGCTCGCAACTGTTAACCACATTGGTTCATGCTTTAAATAGTTACCATGGCAAACAAGCAAACCTTCACCTCTGTACCTGGCAAGGTAAAGTGGCTGCCGGTGGTTTCATTCATTGTAAAGCATTGTGAGTCGTGGTTTATGTCATATCTGATACATAATTTTGTAAGTGTAGAATGCATTTTCTAATTTCCAAGAGTGATGAATTACTGCAAATTATCTGCCAAAATATAGTAATAGTTTGAAATCAATTCCAGTGATATTTCCATGTCAAATAACAAAGGTCAGATGTAACAGGGATACAAAAATGTCACACTTTCAGACCTCATATTTCTGGAAATACCCTTAGACAGACATCCGTGGCCCATCACTTTCCATATTATGCATTGGTACTTCCTTAGTCAACCTTTCTCAGTGTAATCTAATATTGTTATAGCTAACTTTGTTATATGAAGTCTATGATGTGACCTTGAGAACCAGTTTGCTCTCTTGTAATAGCCGGGGGAGCTATCGACCATCCATACCTCAAACCTTGTCCTGTTGGGATATCATTTGATGTACGTGTATAATTCCTCACAATTGTCATCTTTGCTCCAGTGCATGCTGGGTGGGGCCTGGTTCCACGACCTCTTTGGCGACCCAGACAAGGTGGACCATGATTGGCTGGCCTCCATCGCCCTGGAGGCGCTGAAGGGTCAAATTGGGCTGAGCGCCAAGCCGACGTTTTGCCGGGTGAATCTGTCCAAAGATTGCATCCCGAACTACAGAGTGAACCACCATAAACTCTTAGGTACATGTAATTTAATAGAGGGTTTGCATGGCTACCATCTCGTGGGCCAGTGCTTTTGTTCCACAGGGCAGGCACAAAGGAGGTTTTTCTGTGGTCCGTATTAAATAGTTAATAGTACGTTTTAGAAAGAGATTGCTATGGGCTGTATTCGTGAGGTGGCCATTTTAGATACTGCTCCCTGAGTCCATTAGATTGCTTGAGCACTCTGAAATTGGAAGGTGCCTAACTATTTTGCAGAAACTACTGTGAACTTTATTTTATTTCACCCACAATGGTGACATTTAGGTGCCGTATAGTCAAGTCCCTGCAGGTCCATCCTAAGTCTGTCACAAGTCGTCCAATCTGAAACCAAGTCACAAACTATTCAGATGGACTGTGACAAAAGCATTCCTTTGTCATTGTTCACCCTGTTACTTGTGACTGGTCTTATGAAAGGAATAGTGACCAGCCTTGTGATGGACTGAAATGGCGAGTTTTTAGAGTTTACTCAAGCTGAATAAATTTCGTTTTTCCCTTTGCACGCACAGAAAAGATCGATGCGCACATAGCTGCGAACGACCTTCCTCTGACCCTCATTGGGTCCTCGTACAAGGGTGTGAGCGTCAACGACTGCATTTACAACTCCAGGCTGGCTGCCCAGAGTCTGGTGCCTGATGGTCAACTCACGATGTGACCACTGCGAACAGATTCGGGCTGGTCCTTGTCACTGTTACCGACAGGTACACCACTCGGGAAACTATAGTTGCCAGAAAAGAATCTGCACTTTCAGTTTATGAATCCATTAACCTATGAAGAATAGTGGGGATAACACATTACATTTTACGACGGTTGCTGCAGTCGAGAAACATATAATGGATGGAATTCAATAAACTTCCATAGCAATGCATTGTGAATTTCAGTGGGTCATTCTAAAACACAGAGTGTCCTTTCCATAGCCATTTTGTGCCATTAAAATGAAATAAACAAGTCCAATCAGGACGAATATTTAAAATATTTTTATAGAAGTACCGTGAATTTAATTCTTTGTAAGTTGTTACGTAAACACAATTTGTATAAATGTATGGGGACTCCAACACTGTTGTGAAATGCAATGCATACATGTGATGTGAAGTTGGTGCATTTAACAAGACAATAAATGCGGCTTGGCCGGTCCTCAGTCTTGAGACTGGCCAAGTGTAACGGTTTAAACCGGCCAAGCTCATATTTGTTCCCATTCATAAATACCTTTGTGTCAGACAGTCAAAATGAGTCATAAATCAATTTCCAATGATTCTATTGAGCAAGTTTCTTTATTCTTTTCAAGTACTCAAGCCACTTTATGGTATGTTCTTGTTGCAAGTAGTCATAAAGAATCACCTTATATGGAGATCTATACATGTAGGTGCACCCATGGCAGGCACTACATGCAGAATGTGATGGGCCAGTGGTCAGGGACATTTAATCAGCATCCAATCTCCCGTGGAAGTCTTAAACATTTAAGACTGGTCACACATGTATTTATTTTCATTAACAAACACCTTATGAATCAGAGAATCGAAAGAAATAAAAAATATTTAATCTTCAATTTTTTCTCTGATTTAACCTTTTTTTATTTAACACCCCTCTGGCCATGGAATGGTATGTGCCTCTGCGAGCAGATGCATTAATTTTATGGCCGACCATGTGAGAGGCTTTCCACCGATAGGAATGAGTGAACCACCTGAGGTATTTATGAATAAAAACTAAAATTTGATCAGTGAAATCAGTGATACTTACCTCCATAAATAATATCTCCAAAATATGTGATGTGATTTGGGAAAACCCTTCACATGGTGAACGTGTCATTATGTTATATACATATTATAAGGAATGCAAAGATTAAGACTTCTTCACTAGTAAGTAGATGGTTGTGGGTTCGAGTCCCACCCGAGTAAGCTTGTGAATTTTTCATAAGCTGTCAGACAAGTACTGAGTATACAGTGTTTATGAATATACATCAGTGTAAGGGCAAAAGTTACATCCCAGACTCAAAGTACATCATTAAAAAGACCCAAACCTGTTGTCAAAACTTATATTCCTGTTTCCAGGATGTAAAAAACTGGAGTTGAGCTGTCCTGGTCAATCTTTTAAGCTCAAACATTTTGGTGAGTTTGTGGAAAAACTGAATTGAAGATGGCAAAAACATTTAAAATGGGATTTATGTTCAATATTTCAAGAATGACAGTCAAGATATAGATAAGAAAAATGGTGGCAAATTGTCAATTTTTCGAAAAAAAAAATCTCGAATACTATGAGTCTGTATTATCTCAATATTTGGTCAAAAACGTGGTATGTTATGTGAAGGGTTTCCATAGACCCCATCACATGTACGCATAAAGTTGGGGCTGGAATGAAATATGTATATTGTACAAATTATGGAACCAAACTTTATCTCTGTAACGAAAGACGTGTATATATGCGGAACTGGGGAAAATAAAACTACACACGCCCTCCCTCCAACACAAAGGGCACATTTGAGTTTGTACTGTGATGTAGTTCTGACATGAGAGGGCGGTTATTATTGACGTGAATAGAAAAACAAACTTTTCCTGTGAAAGGGAGGTATTGTCGGACTTATTATGACACCGACTCGAAGACATTGGACATGTCGAAGGAGTTGACAGTTTCCTGCCTCGTCTTTCTGCACATGTTCGCATATATGCATCCTTGACATTGAGAAATTTTCATTGCATCAGTATCAAATTTTTGACCGGATCCCATGAAGTGAGCCTCGAGGCTACATTTGTCTGTAATTCCGTTTTAGCAGAGTTCCCTGGTTTTTGATATACAGATGAACCTCGTTATTTATGAGGTTTTTCGGGCTTCGCAGATCACCTCGTTGTAACAAGAACCTTGTATTATCAGGAATGTAAACCGAAATTTCCTTTCTATATATTGTATAAACAGTGCTTTTTGTAAAGAGTTTCAATTGTATGCCCCATTTCGGTATCCTGATGATTATGGTCAAGTAAGGTGATTCCCATCGATTGAAAATACATGTAGTGCACTTTTCAATGCAATCGAAAAGGATTTTTACTCATTCTTTTTAAGCCTGAGACAGATTCTGCTAGGATCGAAGCGTCAGGCCCTCCTTATGTTGTGATTTGTATTTAACACGTCACTGTAACTACATACATGTATAGCAAGCAGTTTGCAGCAGTTTTGTTCCGGAATCGGAAAGGAATGTCAAATTGTTCTCATACACTGATGAGGAGTATTACAGCTGCACTTAAAAAATGAGCATACTTTTTATTCAGAATTGCAGCGTGTTTCGCTTTCACTCGGAAGAACAAAAACATAATACCTGTTAACAATTTGAAGGGAAAGTCCCTCGACATGGACACATCGGAAATGAAACTAAGTTCATAGACTTCTCCAGTGAAGTTAATGTTCCTTTTTATTGCAAATCTTTATTTGACATGCACAGGGAAGTGTACATAATGTAGTCACCTAAAAGTTAAACAATGTACAAACGAGACAAGACAAAAAAACTTTTTCAATTTTACAGAAGATCGTGTTGCCTTCTCAGCACAAACTAACAGGTCTGCGGTTTATCCGAGTATTACCAAATGAAAAACTCTAGTTTCTCTGTGCGAACGTACATCACAAACTTCTTTCACATCTGAATTTACTGGGGACACGGAACATCAAATTGGAGCTGTACAAAATATGAGCTTTCAGAAAATCTGGCCGCAGCAGGTAGATGTATTCCGGCACGATACATGTACACGCTGTACGCCATGGTGAACCTGTAAGAAAGCAATGCTACAAAGTAGGTGGGGTCAAGCAGTGGAAGGGGGGGGCAAAATTTGTTACTCTCAACGGAGGAATTAAAGTTTTATCTTTTCTTTTCTGTTATTTTTTTGTTTTTCCTTTTTAGGGGGGGCAAAACTCAACCCTAGGGATTCCCATAAATACGGAGGGATAAACAACACCTGCGGAACTCTTTCTCAGTATGGTCGGAACTCACGAGTGCTTGAGGTGAAATTAACATACTGGTACATAAGTGAGGTACTGATCTAATCTCATTGAACACTCAAAGTCAACAATTCTGTACAAAATGCAATTAGATCCTCTTTCAACACATAATTGTTCCCTAGCCTTAACACTGCCACTTTTCTATGGCTGAAAAATTTCCATGTACAATCACTGTTCTCAGTTTTCAATTTAGTTTCCATTTTAAGTGAGCAAGAGCAAGTGACATTTTGTCCTGCATTTAATGAACTGCCGGTCCAAAAATCCTTGACTACTTTGTCGAGATGTCATAATTACAGGGGTGGCTGGTACTCACGTGTACTGTGAATGCCACCTTTTTTACAGGGAAAATTTACAATTTCTTGAAACATGCACGCCTTGTGCCTTCTGAAAGTTGGCATTTTCTGAAAGTTAGCATTTATTTTTATGGTTCAAAGACAATTTTCTATTGAATCCCCCTCCAAAAAAATCCAACCAAACAAACAAACCAACAAACATGAATCCCAAGAAGTACGGTAGCTTCATATCTGTTATGGTAGCAACACAAACTTTTTTGTTCGCATATCAGCTCAATCTAACATCGACACTGAGCAGGTCAGACCAAGAACTGTGGTTAACTGGGGCACGTTCAACAATGCAATATCACTTACATGCAAACTATCTGCACACTATCAACTATAAAAGTTATACAGGGTATGCCAATACTATCCAACACTATTGCACTATTGATTGAATGCGGACCAGTTTTCTGAATTGACCACAAGTGGACAAGTCAAATGGTAACCTACTCACAACCCAACCGAAACTGAGATTGGACACACTGGTCGACGGATCAGTTTTATCAATCCCTTAAAAGACAACAATAGGTAGTGAACATGTATGTAGAAATGATCTAGTTAATCTACATTCACAGGGGCGATTGAAAAATGGTGGAGCATTCCCTACGTCTTTCAGCTGAGAGACACAGGCCCGATCCCTCATTTTGTTTTGTGCACGCATCCAAATTCTGCTGTGTTCAACTTCAAGTGAACCCGGCCCATGTACACAGCTTATAGCAAAAAAACACACACAAGAAATAAAAAAAAGAAAAAAAAACCCGAACAGTACCAAGGCAAGGTCTAAAATACTGTAAAAATATTGAATAAAATTGTGCCAATGACCCTCTGGAGTTGATTTTATTTGGGGTCACTGGCTGAAGTTTAAAAGCAAGCAGGATAATACATCATGCCTTTTTAACAGAAATGTAATTTTTGACGCAAAATAACAGCATTCAAGTTGAAAATGTCACATTTAGCTGTTATGCGTAGCTGGGGTTATGGCAACACACAACAGCGACTTTGATCCATGGAGTTGCAGTGATCACTTGACCGTACTTTAACTCGAGACGCTCTCATTTCTATTTTGACATGGAGGCCTGCGATATAACAACCACCAGTCCTTGCCAAGTTGTAATCAAACCTACTTAGTGCTGAATACTGTCAGAATCCAGTTCACTGATCTCTGCATAAGAAATCCTCCAAGCCCAGTCTGAGCGCGACGAAAGAGTGAAACTGTATGCACTGGTTTCCAATCCCTCCACTGGAATGCGTGGAGGGAACCAGTTTTTATCCACCATCACTGAACAAAAATATGTACAAATCTAATGTCTGTAGAATGGTAATATGCATGACTGGATTTCTAATGTCCGGCAAATGAGCAGTCCAGGGGCATGTGTTTGTGACCCCTAGCAAGAAATGTCTTTGCAACAAAGCGATATTGGTGGTATGTGAAGCCGCAAAAACGAGAAATGATTGCCGCCTGAGCGAAACAGAGTGCATGGTAACGGTATTTTTGACAAAGGTCATTTTTCATTCCATATTCAGAATGTGTCTTACACCTCTGCTCTCGTCACAATCTCCAAAACAACAACCACCAAAAAAATAAATAAATAAATAAAATCAAATAAGAATAAAAAAATACCTGTTTCAGTTCCCTATACTTGACAACAAATTTGGCAATACATGAACCTATCACTGCCCTTGTTTTGGTAATGACAAAAACTCATCAACTTATTTTCTGCTACTTTATACTAGCAATAAACACACTCAAACTTCCTACTTTTCCTTCGTCGGATCAATAACGTCACACATGAATACCTGTAACCGAGGCTACGAATAAACCTGACCAATGGCCAAAGAAGACACGTTTTCTGCTCACGGTTGCAATGACCGCGCCCCACTATTTTTCTACAGAGACCAGTGGGAATATTCTGCACAGAACGATTCCCCTCAGAGCTCCATTTTGCCCTCTTTAGCCTTAATTTTTGTCAACGGGTGACACACATTATTTAACATCCCTGCATCTGACAATGACCCATCTTTTCTCTTTGTAAAACATTTACTTAAAAGAAAATAATTTGCTACGACAATCAAAGCCATATTACTTCTGAATACATACATATACATATACAAGATGTCTTGCGACTTGCACAACCTGTGATCTTAAACACCCTTCCAAACCTGTTCTTGGCTATGCGACTGTCAAAGAAAGTGACAAAATGAGATGAGTTAGTCAAGAAAAAAAACGAAATGTACACACAACTGTGGCCACTCAAGGGAGCAATTTTCACAAATAAAATGAACGCAGGCAATGCGGGTACATGTACTTTACATCGGCCTTCTTTCAATAAAAAATATCTCCCCCTGCAAAAAAAAAGAAAATCTATAAAGGTTGTTATACGCTACACGCGACTGGAAGTCAAGACCCAGTCTAATACATGTACTGAGTTGTGGAGGATGGCACATTATGCTGCCTAACCAACTGCGCACTAGGCTTGGGCGAGTCTACTGTAGAATCGTTTAGAACCGATTCCCGAACTTGCTATGAGAGTCGTGACTCCACTGTTCAGGAGCAATTGACTCAATGCAGTAGGGGGTCTAGTTCCAAGAGAGAGTCCATTGCAAACTGTGCCTTTCAATTTATACACCTGTCTATGAAGATGGGATTGGAATTTTTAGGCTACAGTTATAAGTGGCTACTGGAGAAGGTACTGATTCCACTATGAGTAGTATCAAAGTAGTATTGTACATGTGCAGTCTACTGTAATAGTACCGCTTCACACTACCATTTCATATATTGCTATGCCTGTCTTGCTAAAAATCAATGCATGTCAGCACCCATTTGGGAAAAGAGGGAACAGACTATTCCAAGCTTTCACAACCAAATTCTGGAACAACACGTACCCCTTTTTGAACATGCATAGGGTGCCACACTTGTTCTCAAACCGGCAGCAGAGGTCTGCCAATTGCAGAAAGAGCTCACTTGTGAGCATCGCGTCGACAGAGAATGACCCTTTGGGGATAATTGTTGAGAGGGTGCACTGTACAGGCCTCAAGCGGCAATATTTCCTTAGCAACAGGGCTCCTTTGTTGCTAAATGTGAAACGCTGGTTCACAAGCGACTAGCATTGCCGTCGCATCACTGCCAACACATTGAATACTCCTGACCGACGTGGCTCTTTCCACCGATGACGGGGTGCTTCCGCTCGAGGCGGATTGTGACTTACTTTTTCATGTCTAGGAAAATTTGGCGTGGATACCGAAAGGGGTCGGGGCTCCTGGATGGACTCGAAATCAAGTCAAGTCCAGAAAAATGTAGCCAGAGCCTAATCCCAACAGGGCGGCTCTTCTCAGTTGGGCTGCTAGGCACGAGACAAGAACCTTTCTTTTCAAGCTCAATTCTTAGTGAACGTGAAAAATTTAAACATGCTGTAAACATTTGTTTCAGAATATCCTAAACACCTCAAAGTAGTATAAATGTACACCTTCAGGTAAAAAAGATTACCTAACATTTCCCCCTCATTAAAATGAACCCACCGATATATATAAAAAAAGGTAATTTTGAAAAACAAGATTTTTAACAAAATTGCATTGACAACAGGAACATCTGGCTCAATATTTTTGGCCAAAAGTTGAAAACCACAAAATTCACTTCACATATCCTACAATATAAACAGATTAACAGATTATTTAAAAACGAAATTGATGCCCTCATTACAACAAAAAAAAGCTAAAAAAAAAAAAAACCCAAAATGCTTTCTTTACATCTTTACAAATTCAAAATACTTACATTGAGTAATATTTGCCACTTGAAACTGTATACTTAACAGTCACATACCAAAAAAAAATGGTCCGGAAGACGGTGGGAAATTTCGGACAGAAAAAAAGTCAACATCATGGTGTTTTTTGTGGTATAAAAAAAAATATTTCACACCTAATTGATCACATGGATGTGAACGCCTTGTTTGGTGGCCAGAGTGACACAGCCTGGCCAGCTGCTACCGGGGTAGGCTGTCTGGCGCCCTCTTCAGGGTGTATATAGACTTTTAATGCCCTCTTGGGCATTTTGCACACAGATAAATGTACATTTTAGCCATAAGACGCAAGTTACATTTCACATAATGAATTTGTTGCCAAAAAAAATTAAACGGCTGATTTTGATCAACAATTTAGAGATAGTATGCACATAATGAGTTATTGGCAAAAAGAAAGTTTTAATAAGCCACTTGCGAGTTAAATTTGAATAAAATCTGGTAAACTGAGTAATCGGATTACACATAAACGTAACAATTTGAATTCCCCAGACCAAAGACGCTGTTGCTATACCTCATGATTCAGGGCAAGCTTTTGCATAGCGACCACCATCTCTGGAATGGACTGGTTCCTTTGTGCCCTTCTTATCCATTGAGTACAGTGTATTGTTGCAAGGCATCTCTCATGTAACTAAGCAGATGATTGCCCCGAATCGAGAGGTACAGCAACAGTGGTCTTAATATTGAGAATTCAAGTTATGTTCACGTGAATTTAAAGAACTCGGTGTACCAGATTTTATTCTAATTTAACTCCCAAAAAGGCTTGTTACTCTAAAAAAAATGGCAGCTTTTGTTAGTTGTTTTTCTTGTTTTCAAACACTTTTTTAAGGAATGGCTTTATATGTTAAAATCCAAAAGGACTTCCAGGTCCACAATTCAAAACTAACAAAACAATACATGTACGAAAAAATAACCCAATACATGTTGAAGAAAAAGGTATTTCGGAGCCCAGCATTACGGTGTAGAGTATTTTTTGTGTGTGCTTAAAGGTAGCAGTGGTGGAGGACCAACCACAGGTCACAAGTATAAATCCTGTGACTGTTTGGCCGGTAACCAGATTTGTAGTTACTCAATACGCTGGTCGCTTAGATGGTATCCGAATTACTTGACTCAAGCTCGACACAACACACAACTCGGATGCAGCCACAGCCATAATACTCCTGCGTATGTTCAAGCCGCTGCCAAGTCAGGAAAACTCAGCCTTAGCAACTCCATAGAACATCCTTCATTACTGATGCATGCATACTGGACTGAGGCTTGGAATTAGAGTAGCCTATGAAAGTCCAACAGCCCAGTGTAAGTTTTAAGTTCTTGCTAGGTGAATTCCTGCATGGCCTTAAAAGCGAACCGGTAAGTCTGGCCTCCTACGTCACTTCAATGATACAGGCCGGCACGTGCAGGCCAGCCACTGACTGTTTTTTTCTTTTACTCTTCATCATAAAAAATAAGGAAGAAAAAGTCGCCAAACCGGGGTTGAGTGTTCCAAGATCAAGTATTCAACTCGGAAGTGAAAAGCTTGCAGCAAGTGTGACGCTCCACAAATTTTCAAACAAGAAAATGGCACAATTTGCTTTAATTAAAATCTCCCACAATTAACACTGATTCATCACTCCTCAATCACTCCACTCAAGTGCTACCGACACGAAAGAATCGTACGCAAAATGCTCTTTAACATAAGAATACAATCCTGAATTGTCTCTAAAGACTGCAGCATGTATTACCGCTGCTGACGATCACCGACACAGAAACGCAACCTCAATGGATACAAACTATCTTGGTTCTTAAAAAAACCAGAAAATGCTCCACGAAAGTCAGAGCCAAACAGAAAGAGAAAGATTAATGTACATCCGTGGGCAAAAAACCTGCCTTTAATTTATAAAAAATAGCTCTGTTTAGAATATATTTATATATGTATAATCCGCATTTACTGATGCCAGAGTTCTGAAGAAAAGTCAAGACAGCACACAAACTGTGATCTGTTGCTGGATGCGCCCGGGCAGGTGCTCACGTGCGCATCTCGCGGCACATCCCGGACTTGCCGCCGCTGGGGAAGCGGACTGGGCGGAGCTGGGATGGGGGCGGGTCATTAGGCCGGGCCGAGGGCTTCATGAGGATGAGGGCCGAGCCCAGGCAGGCCTGGACGGGGGCGGGCGCGCCCCCCGGCAGGGAGATGATGGTTGTGGCCACCGCCGCCATGTCGTCCTCCGTGGGCTCGCACGCGATCAGCCCGCAGGTTAACAACTGAAAGACAAAAATGCAGACAGTAAACGCAAACCTGACAACTTGATGCAAAATGAACCATACAGGAAACTAACGAGGTGCTTCCATATCAATAATAAAGACGAATGAAAGAAAGTGATCCCAGGGATTCGAACCTGCACCCTCTAGAAAACCATACCAGCACTCCATTAAACTGAGCTACCCAGCCCTATAAAGTACCAAAGTGAATACTTGGAATAAAAGGCATTAGCTTGCAAACCAGCGTGTGAACCCATTCCTTTGCACTACACTTCCTGGTTCAAAATGACGTCACATTTGTGACCCAGCACATCGAAATCAGGAATAAGTCTCAAATTGACTTTTTGAGATATGTACATGGTCAGAAAGAGAACTTCATAAGCTTTCAAATGATCTGTCATGTTCATCAGATCATAACTAGAGAACCAAAGCAGAAACACACTTGTAATGTGTACCATTCAAAAGTTTATGAAATTCACTTTCTCACCATGTGCATATCTCAGAAAGTCAATTTGAGACTTGTTCCCAATTTCGATGTGCTGGGTCACATTTTGGCATTCTGTCTCGGTGGTTCCTTCAATCTGTCAGTATCTTAGTTATTGCAAGCCAAAGGTCACAAAAATCTGGACAAGCAACAGTAGCAACGTTGTAAATCTGAGAAGTTGTCGACATCGGACTAGCACGCCTCCCAAACAATGGTATTGACAAATAGGGGCAGCCAACAATGTAGGGCTGAACATCTTCTATAGATTGGCGATGCATGTTGACCAATGCCGTAACTATTTATTAGACGGTATTTAGGAGCCGGCCATCTTGAACTGAAATCGGGGTTAACTTTTCATTTTGGGAACCTGCTAGTAAAAATAACAACACAATAAAGGTCCATTACAAATCAATGCCAGTTTGCATTTAGAATAACAAGAAATTTGTGAGAAGTTAATTTCTAAATGGACATAAAAAATACAGAAAGTGAGGCTTGGAACCCCAAAACTGTATGGCACCCCCCATAACAGACTGCATTTGAATATGATCGTGTCAGGGAACAAGATCAAAGCCGGCTTCCCAGTGATTAATGTCTAATTGGAAGGCACATTACAGTTTCAGTAACTATAGCCACTACTTTTTTTCTGACCCTTACTTTGGTGGGAGATGTCGGTCGGGATCCCGGATGGCATTCCGACGCACCTCTCTTCATCCTGCTGTGCTTCCGTGGTGGCACCGTCGCAGCAGCGGCCGGGGTGACCCATGTCCCCGAGGGCAGGCCCTCGACGTGCAATAGGACGTCCCCGATGGGCCGGCTGGCCCGGTGCTCCAACTCCAGGGCCCGGCGCTGCCGATCGTTGCGCACCTCCAGCGCCACCTTGACCTTCCAGGCCACCACCAGGATGGCCAGGAAGAGGAAGAAGCAGGAGAGAAAGACGGAGAAGAAGACGAAGAGGTCGATGTGGGGCTGATCCTGCCGGAAGTACATGATGCCGCTGGTGGCAGCGGCCGCCCCTACTCCCTCCTCCAAGGACGGTGTTCCCATACCATCGGCGATCTCTCGACTCAGCAGCGTAATGAAGAACTTCTTGGTCTTGAGGCTGTGGACGTCCTCGGGCAGGGTGACCACCAGGCGATTGCGCAGGCCCCGGACGATGGCCACAAAGTTTGGATCATCGATATTGACGAAGGTGTTAATGTTGTCCGTGGCCGCGTACTCCGTCAGAGTGTTGTAGACTGGCGGTGCCACTGAGGACGTCAGGGCCTGTCGCAAAAATGAACACAGTCTTAAGAACGCAACCCATGGCTTAGAAAACAAAACGTGCAAAGTGTCCCAGAAGCCTGAAGACAGCATGCCTTTGCAAAAACAGAGAACATCCCCAAAAGCGCAAAAACCATGACTCAGGTTGTGCAAACCTGCACCAAAATCGTTTAAGGCTCAACTGAGAATGGAGATTTTTAGTAAATGTGATTTTTGACGGTCAGTGTTCAATTTACAGAGATGTGCTCGGAAATACATGCGCCTTCCAAGTATTCTGGTGTATGTGGATCTGCCAACTGGGATACAGAGATTTGAAAGTGTACATGCCTCCACACACATGAAATGCCTTTGCCCGTCATGTTATGTCACATGAAAAACCTCTATGACACTAGGGTAGGAATTTTTGTCTGAGTGTATACCTGGCAGTTAGAAACCAAAAACCAGGAGGCAACAAATCCCCAAAATGTACAGAGGACCACTTCTTTCACGGCAAGATATACCTGTTCTCCGACCTCAAGTTCTTGTGGCACGTTCCGTCGCTCCCGCGGCAGGCCCTTGGTGCGTCGCTTGGCGCGGTAGGCCTCCTCGTACAGATTGGCGCCCTCCAGAGAGACGCTGTGCTCCCCGGTGGTCCGGTTGGTGGCCACGCGGAGGTAGTCGAAACTGTGCGTGATGTAGACGTCCAGCGCGCCCGCCGTGACGTCCACCGTCAGCCGGATGTCCAGGTTGGTGAACTTGGGCTGGACGACAAAGAAGGACGCCCGACCGAACGGCAGGGGGACGGAGTCCAACGGGCAATCTGAACAGAGGAAAGAAACCAGGAGAGATAGGTTCAATTCTTCACACTCTTTGACAAAATGGATTTAGGGAAGGGTGGGGTTTTATTTCCTATTCGGGGGAGGCTCTTGACAACGTGAAATGCACTAAATTTTTTTGACAAAACGATTCCACAACTAATGTTTGAAAGTGTAACCAGCTCGTGGTAAAGGTGAAACAAGTTGTGCTAGCTATCCTTACCGTGCAATGGCCCGCTCCATGTTGCAGGGGTGAAATTCCTCCTGAAATGTCAAGCTTGGGTTTTTTTTGTCAGCGATACCAGCTTGGATCTCTGACCGTTTCAATTTTGTAAACAAAAATTGTATGAAAGGTCATACATTGGTTGCTGGGGAGATTTAAGGTGTGTCTTCCAAACCTATTAGAGTCAGAGTTAGACAACATTAGCAAAGCTTCTTTTCTGAGCTGTATTCTGCTGACGTCCATTACTATGAAAAAAAGCATCTCCAGAAGGGGATGGTCTATCCGCCCTGAGTTGAAATGCACTCTCACCGGTGAAAGAGAGACTGGTACAGAACAGAAAGTTTGCCAACCGGTTTCTTGCACGCATCCGGCGTGCAAGCAGAGACCATACATTCCAGACTACATTCATAGTGCATACTCAGCATGCTCTGCGTCAAAAGCGCTAATATCACAGGACCGTCCATTTGATTTCAAAACACGCCCTCTGTTGTTCCCGCTCGGAGCGGATTGAGGGCTGCTTTTAATATACCACATGAAAGCTTACACTTCGTTAATACCAGCACCATTTTTTTCATCTTTGCAACATAATACACCGTCCTTCCAGAACAGGTCACCGGTAGAAATTCCAGACCTTTCCGAGGTCTTTCCAGTCAACGGGAATCCCTAGAATGACAGAACTACAGCGAGATGCCCCGTCCACCTTCAACATTCGACTGGATTGCTGACTTACTTGTTTGGGTCTCCGGGTCAAAGCAAGTGTCTTGGTCAACGTGCATCTGGCGATAGCACTGCCGGCCGTCAGTGGGTTCACCAATGAACAACTCCTCGCAGATTGAACACTGTCAGAGAAAAATCGAAATTGGATTTAAGAAAAAGCTGCAAGGCAATGGAAATTCAAGGTTTGACAGCCCTAAAACTCTGGGCATCCGTGTGAATATGCAACAAAACCTAACGCAACGGAAAAACCTTGCAACGGTTGACTGTGTTGCACTGCTCAGTGAACTTGACCTGCAACAGCTTTGTCAAACAAACAACTCTGGGCATCCATCTAAATGCATTGGAATACAACACAATTGAAATGACAGCCTTTCAACGAGTTGCAACAGAGTATTGTGTTGAAATGTGCAGTGAACTCAACCTGCAACAAATGTTGTCAAACAAACAACTCTGGGCATCAGTCTAAATGCATGGGAATTCAACACAATTGAAATGACAGCCCTTCAACGAGTTGCAACAGAGGATTGTGTTGAAATGTGCAGTGAACTCAACCTGCAACAAATGTTGTCAAACAAACAACTCTGGGCATCAGTCTAAATGCATGGGAGTTCAACACAACTGCAAATAGCCCTGCAAGGAGTTGCAACAGAAGATTGTGTTGCATTGTGCAGTGAACTCAACCTGCAACAGCTTTATCAAACAACTTTGGGCATCCATCCCCAACAAAAGTCAAACGCAGCTGAAAAGATGGCCTTGCCACAAGTCGCAACAGTGGACTGTGTTGCATCATGCAATGAACTTGACCTGCAGTAGCTTTGTCAGGCCGCAACGTAGAGTTCCTTCTCACTTCCTACTCACAGCTTTCAACCGCAGCTAAAACAATCTGCCCTGTTGGCCATTTAAAGCAGTATTTAAAATCTTTCCAATGCCTCAATACTAGTCTTTACATCAATATCTACTTTAAGAGACAAAATGAGTATCAAAAACAGTTCTGTTGCACACAGCAGTGTTGTAGTCAAGACCATCACGAGACCAGTCCCAAGTAACAGGGCGAATGACACAGGAATACTTTTGTTGCAGTTCATTTGAAAAGCTTGTGACTTGAATTCAGACTAGAGGTCTTGTGAATGTCTCCAGTGGTCTCGACTACGACATTGGCGCATTGCACTGAACTCTTTTTTGAGCTAACATTGAAGTTCAGGTCACAAAATGCTTTTCAAAGGAGGAAAATCTCTCCTGGACCTTGCGGAGTCCAGATCAAGATCACTTCCCCATTGGAAACGTTGATTTCAAACAACCAAAACTTTCCTTGCGCATGCTGGACTTGACCTAAAATCTGACGTTTCATTACATGAGCATTTGTACAAGATCTTGGAGAAGGTTTCGACAACAGCAATGGCTTGAGACAGGAAGTCGCTCTTTCAGCATTGACATTTCAGACAGATGAGCACATTTAGACTGTCTACCTGGTGTGCCCAGCAAGGTGCGGGGTATCTCTCGGTGGGGCAGGAGGGCGTGTCCGTGTTGTTCTTGCACTGGCAGTCCTCCCCGCTGGTCTTGTCGCAGCGGTCCCAGTGCCCGTTGCATTGGCACCTGTAGAGGAGCCGAGGAGCAACAGGTACAAGTATCCGATTTGTGCATGCATGGTTGAGGGCGCCAAACACTTCTCAAAACTATAGAACTGAGCTTACTGTGCTCATTTGGGACAGTCGGTGTCAAGACCAGTCAGGGCTTTACTCTACTTGTTTTATTTGCAATGTTTAGAATTCTGGTGATTGACACTTGTAATTTAAAATTTTCTATTTCTGAAACTAAAAGGGTCTCACATCAATGCAAATTTACCGCTCTTGTTTTCTTCCGTGGAGAACAAACATTAATAGGACAGCTTATCAACAAGAGGCAAAAACACACTTTTGTGAATTACACAAAAGAAAAGAAAAGGGCTTCTGACTCACACTTGGCAGTGGTTCCCGTCTTTAAAGTATCCGTCGATGCAGGTCTCGCACATCTGACCGGCGCTGTAATTGCGACAGTTGACACAGACGGCGTTGGTGACGGGACCGACGGGAAACTCTACTGGGACCTGAAAAAAAGAGAGAAAAATAAAAGGTCACAAGTGAAAAATTACACCAAACTCTAACCATACTTAACCCAACGGTGTCCAACAATGGGCTCTTGGTTGGATTTTCTTGATGAATGAAAGGCCTCTTGGTATAGATGTTGGACTCTGTTGGGTTCAGTGGGGTTCCTTGGGAAAACGAGGAGGATTACGGTTAACAACTGACTGATATTTGAATTAAAAAGGTGACCCCTGTGCACAGCGCAAGGTATTTCCCGGTTCACAGGAATGAACGTGTGGGACGGACGGAAGAGTAGTCTGGCACTCACGCTGATCAGGTCTAGCTGCAGACCCTCATCCCGGGTGCGGTTGAAGTTCTCCTCCGAGAGGCAGATGTCGCTGTTGCCGTGGCAATAGGCAAAGCAGGGCATGCACTGCCCACCGTTGGTGGGGTCACCCACAAAGAACGGCAGGCACTTGTCGCAGCTCTGACCCTACAAACAACAAAGTCAAAACCAAAAACGTTATGGGCACCATTTTTTCCACTTTCCCCTGCACTACAGTATTTCTATCGTGGACTAGATATCCGTTGACGGACGGCAGTCACACAGAACAGTCCGATCCGTTCAACTTACACCTGATAATCTCTAGGAGACCTTATTCTGCCAACACACTGCTCGGTCTGCGATGATTGATTCGCACAACGCACAACGCTGTGTGTGTGTATCGCACGCACGCATACAAAAGGACTCCAAAAGCATTGTCACGTACGCATGCTACATGTGTACAGATGTACATAGATGCAATGTCATGAATATCCATGTTGTGCTTAATGAAGTTTGACTTCCGGTGTTCATCACAGCAACGGTCAGGCCTTTTTCACAAGTCGGCCACACAGAACTCAACGCGAGGTTAAATTTTCTTATATTTGGGGCCCCGAAAATAAAATTGAAAGCAATGAGAAAGGTTTATTATAGTTTCATATCCTTGATGACGAATAACTGAAAATTTGTGATTTATTGTATTTACTGTTCTATTAAAACAACAAATGAAAGTAAGGAATGGATCCAAAATAGTCTGCCGCCATCCCATTTGACACATTGCTTTGTATAAGATAGATTCAGGGAACATGATCAAAAATGGCCTCCCTGCAAATAAGGTCTACTATTCTGGACATTTTTTCTGGTCTCTTTAATTGTGTTGCCAGAGTACTGTATCATGAATATGTATGAGGGAAGAAAAAAATTAACGGTAAGAATCTGGACAACTGTGGCAGTGGTGGAGATTTCAACATCTCCCTGACCTTTTGACCTCTTGGCCCTCTGACTTTAATACCTGGGTGTTGTTCATGCACTGCAGGCAATTGGTGCGATTGTGGGGCTCCGGTCCGGCGCAGGTGCTGTGGCCGTTGCACTCGCACTCCACCGCGCAGTCGGCCCCCACGTGGCCAAAGTTGCACAGGCAGACGTCGGGCCGGATGCAGATGCCGTTCTGGCAGGGGGGATTGCAGACCGGCAGGCACGCTGAACCCTCGCTGGAAGTGGGGGGGTGTTTTGGGGGAGGGGTGGATAAAAGAGGGGGTGGACAGAGACGGGGTGGCAAAAGGGGTGGAAAAAGGGGGCGAAAAAAGAGGGAGTGGAAAGAGGAAATAACCATAAAACACAGGATTGAGATTGGACAGGAATTAGGCCAACGGAGCGGTCAGACAGATAGCTGTTCCACTACTTGCCTTGTGCTTCCCCATGCTTTTGTAACAACAGGGGTGTGAGTGGCCCCTTAAAATTAAAGCTGAAAACAGCGAACAAAAAGCTGAAATGTAATACGTTCCCAAGCTTCTGTACAGATCAGGTGTGCAAAAAACTGAAATTCAGGGACATCGAAACAGAAAAAGGTTTTCTTTTAAGGAGCTTGTCAAAATGGCCAAGCACAATATTGTAAAGGAGAATATTGAAAAAGATGGAAATAGACAAAAATTCATTTTTTGGGACAATAGCCTCACTTTGTGAGAACGGTGATGATTTGTGCATCATTTCCTACTAGCCCCGTTGCCGGTTTTAACACGAGACAGTCGCCAAGCGACACTTTTTTCCAACATGCCTGGCCCTAACACACTCCAGGGTTCCACGCACACTCAACCTCTGCCAAGTCTTGGGACCTCTGAGTCCTTCATTCACTAATTTCTGTGATGTGTTTGCGAGTCGTCTGCTCACTGTCGCAGAAAAATCTCTGTCCTCTCAACTTTGATGCTCATTTTAAAAAGTGCGGCAAAGTGCGGTCCAGGCTCACCTTTCTTGCTCATAGCCGGCCTTGCAGTTGCACTCGTAGGAGGTGAGCGTGTCGTTGCACTCCTCGTTCTCTCGGCAGTCGTGGTGGCCGTTCAGGCACTCGTTCTCTGGCGGGCAAGCCATGAAGGTCCACAGAGGAGGTTCTTGGAAGTTGACGGGCGTGAAGGTGACGAATTCTATGTGTGAAAGAAAGAAAAAAGTCACCTTCTCATGCTGTGTCTCAGTTGAAGGTTTTACCTAGCAGAGGTTGGCAAACTATAGCTACTTGTCACTACATGCACAAAAGCAAAATATTAATTCTCGGTGATTGAAAATCCCACATAGCTATCAAACATCAAATGACTATATACCACTACAAATAATTGGAACTTGAAAACATGACTCTACACAGAGTGTAATAGAGAAAGTGCACATTCCATGATAAGACCGGTTTCCAATGGAGGGAAACCTTCCTGGAAACTAGAGCACTGAAATGAATACATTGTGCCCACAAATGTGTACAGGCGTGTCATACATGGTGTGGACCTCTGCACAAAAGAAGCCCACATAATGCAGAGTATGATGGCATTGTGTGGACTTGCACACGTCCACACAAGGTTTCCCCCTCTCTGGAAAAGGGGTTTAGAGGCATTTTGGGGTGGGGGTCATCCGTGGTAAAAGGAAGAGGAATAGTCATGGAAACCTTGTACAAAAAAACCAGCCAAAAATCTTGTTCCTGGTTGAAGAAAAGATGAGTATTTTCACTGAGTTTTCTTAACTGCACGAAAACAAAGGAATGTCCACAGTAGGTATGTAAGGTAAACGTGTGGGTAAAATGCTGAAGAAACTGTGTGTGGACCTGCACATGTGCATGTCTTCCATTCATTTTCACTACACTTCCTGGTTCAATATGATGGCACACTTCAGTAGGCTCTATACAAAGGGTACTGAAGGTAAACAGGAAAAGGGGCTCTTCCTGGGATATCTTGGTTAGGGCCGTGTTGAATGTTCAAATAGTACTGTCTGAATTTGAAGATTTGAATGAAAAATTCACGGAAAGGAAGGGAGAATTTTCTTTTGTTTTAAAATGAGAAAAATTGCATTGTGGAGGCTTGTTTCAAGCAGATTGACTTGAAAAGCGACAGAAATATTACACATCAAAAAGTGAATTATTCCTTGAAAAATTTTAAAGGAATATAAATTTTTCACAGGGCAAGAAGTATGGTTTGTCTCTAAAATCTTGCTAAATTGTGGCTGGAGATACTCCTGGAGGTGAGAGGCGACAATACTGCTTATAATGTACAATTGTGTGCATTATTGCAACTGATTTTGTATACGGTTTAATCATCAACAATCTGCCGCTTGGTAAGACCAAATATCCAGCTATTCAATCGAATTGAAGGTCGAAGATTCGAATAGTGAATCATTCGAATTGACTCAGCCCTAATCTTGGTTAAGTTTTCATATTAAATGTTCATAATGTAAGGTCGCTGCTATATTTTGTTTCAGATAACGTTTCATATCCTGGACAACGTTTCCGGCTCATGAGACAATCCCGTAATCCCATCCACGGAAGTCAATCGCACATAGTTGAGCCACAGATCGGATCACAAGCCATTCTAACAGTTCACCCGCTGACACGACAGTGGAATGTACCGGTACTCAGCACAGACTTTGCGCACATGATACATCGGTGCCCATCATGTCGTACATATCACGTGACAAGTACGTGATTTGTCGCCTTGTGGAGCGGCTGACATAATGACAAAGATGGCCCTGCGTCATTTATCATCCCCTTGCTCACACTGTGTGACTGGACCAGCGATGGGATTTGTAGTTTAGTGTGCAGACAAGTAGAGGATCATTCATGGCTCGAGGTTTCCAATTTGTAATGCCAGCATCATGTACATGAATGTGGCAAGCAGACAATCTTACATCATGGCATTACTAGAAACACTTCCCCAGAAAGACCTCTTATCATAAAATCGGACACATTTTTCGAATGTCAGGTTTTGTTTTTACTGTTAAACTACCGACAGCCACATTTTTTCCAGCAAAAAACTCAATTGACACAATTTTTGGTGTCAACAGAGGCTTAAGATGCACACTCAAGAAAATTATAGCACTCAGGAAACCTACAGAAATAGAGAAACCTAACAGAACTTAGAAAACGTAAAGGACCCCTGAAACTTAAACACCTCAGGAAAAGTACAGTACTTGGGGGAAAAAAGGACACTTGTAGAACATGGGAAACGAAAAAGACATAAGAACTAATTCATATAGGAAACCCATAGAACTTAGGAAACTCACAGAACTGAAGGAAATCACAGAGCTAAGGAAACACACAGAACTTTTAAAAACCACAGGACTCAAACAGACACAACACAGGAAACCTACAGGACGTGGGAAAGCTACAGATTTGATGAAACCTACAGAACTAAGAAGAACTTTAAATTACAGAACTATTAATCCCTTCACAGTGGATGACTGCTACAGCCGCGGCTTTGTGTGAGAATTAGTGCATACCACACATACAGTCTATTCACCATGCAGCTGCTGGTTCAATGGGGCCTGCTGCTGGACAAAGCCCTCCATTCAGGGAATACCACAGCCCAGCAGTCACGGTCAAAAGAATCCCGCCATGAAGGGGTTAAAGGAAACCTACCGATCTTAGAAAACCTACAAAACTAAGAAAAACTGTCTTAATACCCACAGAACCTAGAAACCAGCAGAACTTGGGATATCTATAGAACTTAGGAAACCTAGAGAACTTAGGAAACCTAGAGAACTTAGGAAACCGATAAATGTACAAAAGAAATATGAAAAAAAATAGGAACCAAAAAAGTTCAGAATATATACAGAACTAGGAAAAATACCGAACTTAGGACTTAGGATTGCATAGCAGAGTGGCATCGAGCCTGGTATTTTTGGCAAGCAGTAAATAGGGGAATGTTACATTTAATAGGGGAAACAACATGCAATGAATGTTAGATAAAATGAACATCAATCTCACCGTTTACGTCATAGTCCTTCAAGGTGACGCCCTCAGCCGAGCAGGTGCCCCCCGTGGGCTGGTACAGACCCCCCTCCATGCACACCCCGGTGCCGTTGCCCGGGGGCCCCACCGCGCACCAGCCACAGCCCGGCTGCCCCAGGCAGTGGGCGCACTGGGTGTGCAGGTAGCAGGGCTGGGGGCAGTTCTGGGTGCCGCTGCGGGCCAGCGGGCCACAGGCGCCCGTGGAGCAGATCAGGGGCAGGTAGGTGGGGGAAAAGCACTGCCGAGAATGGAAACAAAATCCGAGAAAAACAAGAAAATCAGACCCACAGTCCTGTTTTTGTATTGTGTCAAACGCCACGTTTTCTTCAATTACCCAATCGTTTTAAGAACTCGTAATGTAAAAATCAACAGCAGAATGAGAAACACTGAAATCCATCAAATCTTTGAGGATCAAATTTCCGGGATGCAACATCTGCAAATTTGAGGAGAAGTCTGTTTTCCCAAACCTGAAATAAATACCATCATTCTTCCAAGGACTACCAAAAAGCCAAACAGTACAGATCAAAGCAGCGAACAGTTTTTACAACCATTGGAAATGCGCAATGTGCTTGAAATCAAACTTACTTTCACTATTTATTTTTTTATGTAAAATGGAATGATGGTGCCCTTTTTTGTTTTCTCGGCCATCGCCAATGTCCATATTCATGAGCAAAACTGTGATGTCATCCTAGGGAGAAAACATCAATTTTGCATTGATCTGTGCAGCAAAAAACCTCCTGGTGATTCACTGCTGCGTACTGAGCGAATTCGGGCTTCATCCTTTGAACAGGAAGACCTACAAACTGAACACTGTTTACCCCTTGAATGACATCACAGCAACGGCGCCCTCAGTTACCCAGGAAAAGCATGCACAGTTTCAATACGTTTCTTTCAATAGGTAGACTTTATAATACACTTTGAATTCGCTAGGGTGTCGACTAGTTTGACACGTTGGAGAAGAGACAAGCTTCACAAAAGGTGTTTCTTTGAAAGATTCATTGCACATCTCCTTTAATGGTGACCTGTTAATCATGAGCTTACTATCACGCCACTGCATGTACGCACATACAAAATTGAAAGCCCAACGAGACAGTGGATTTTGTGCCAATTTGGGCACTTTCTGTTATTGCTATCTTTCCACTGCGATTCTAACTGGAGCCTTGGATGGCATTTTGGCTCCTTGCTCAAGTGGCCTCTCACCTCGCCGAGTCGCGAGCTCCAGACGCACTCCTGCCATGCCCCATCGGCGCCCTTGGTATCCAGGCAGTCCAGGCAGGTGCGGTGGGTGTGGCACGGGGCGGGGCAGGGCTCCGTCGGGGAGGAGCTGATGTGGATGTCGGCGGGCGCTATCTGCAGCAGTGAGTCGCGGAAGCAGTTCCAGTCGTAGGTGGGGTTGGCGTTGAGCAGTCGCCGCACCTCGCCTGTTGGAAAAGAAGAAAAGATGGAAAAGGAATTTGCATATATTAACAAAGGGATTAAGACCAATTATACGTTTGCTTATTCCCAGTTTGTGACACTTGGTGGGTGTCAGGAACAGGTCAGGGAATACAAAAGGCCAAGTGATGTCATCATATGCTTGAAGGGGGACATTTTAGGCATCAGAGGAAAAGGTTAGTGAACGTATTGGCCTGCTTGGATTGCCACGTGCGATTGTCTCGAAACTTGGCACGTATGAAGAACAGTGCTGCTGATTCACAATGGCAAAGCGACGTCGTGATGACACCGTCACGCACTGGGGAAACAAAAGTGGCAGTTCGGGTGGTGTAAGTGGAGGTCCGGGGGGGATTGGGCCTGGAGCAAGGAGGGAGGGCATACGTACTGGCCCGCTTGAACTGGCGCGTCCAGATGCAGTTGCCGAGCACGCACTTGGCGCAGTCGCTGGCCTCGCACTCCAGCTCGGGGCACTGGTCCGAGTCGCTGATCTCCTTCTGTTTGTCCACCTGGCAGTTGTGCTCCTCCATGCAATCCAGCTGGCGGGAGATGCAGGCGCCGTCTGGACAGTTCGAGCACCACATGCAGGTCTGATGGACAGGAAAAGGAGGGTTAATAAGAAAAAAAAAAAAACCCAAAAAACAGGGCTACAGACCGGCGTATTGAAAGCATCATTTTCTGTCCAATGGACCTCGAGCGGGACCAAGAGAGGGTGCTTCTTTCCTATAGAAAAGAGGCTCCTTTGGTGGGAACCACTCAAAGCAGACTGTAGTCTAGCTCTTTTCAAGCACCAAGTTCTCTGTCAAACGCTGAGTAAGGCTGCATCCGAATCTCTTGTCTAGAGCTAGGTCTAGGTCTTCGCTCCATTGGAAATGGGTGGAGACGCGTAGACAATAAACCTAGCCGTAGCTCTGGAAGCCCGTTTCGGACACGGCCTATGCCTTTTGCGAGTGAACAGGATGATGTACACAAAATTAGGCTCAGGGCCAGGCAGTTTTTACATTTTATTGATTTGTCGAATAAAAAGATATAGGTTCCGCGTGATTTTCTAGGTTGGGTCGGGTAAAAGGAAACAAAGCTATTTTTTTGTTTGGCCTTAAGCGCAAGGCCCGTGTCTGGATATTGGCACAGTGGGCCTGGCCTTACCTGTTCGGCCAAATGGTGGGCCGGTTGGGTCATGACGCACTCACTGCAGGATCTCGCCGCCCGACAGTTGCGGAACTCCACCCGGGCATTGTCGCAGACGGTGCCTTGCTCCAGCGTGTACTCGCCGCTGCAGCTGTGGGGAGGGGGCAGCAGACAAACAGCAGCGTCAGTGCCAAATCACGCAAGGAGTTATTCCAGGGTTTCATCTAGGACTGAAATATCTGCCTGACCCTTCCCAGCCAAGCTTAAACCTTGGTTGCTTTATTACTACTTAAGTACAAAAATGCTGCACACACCAACTCATATTGATGAACACAGTAAGACACTTAAACAGAACACAACAGCTGTAAACTACAATAACATGAAAATAAAACAATTTGTGATATAAGCAAATAAAAATTCCCTTAAATATAGCTTACCACTGTATTCTAAAATGAAAGAATTTATTTAGTAACCGTTTCCAACAGCAAGAAAATTGCCACTTACAGGAAAGGTACAAAAACTAGAAATTGAAATACAAGACAATAAATCAATATATATATACATTTAAAAATTTAGTGAAAATAGCCTAAAAGGAGAAGATTCAAATGAAACACCAATAAAAGATATATTATTTGAATTACATGTATCAACACTATATGCGGCATATGCGACGGGGGAGTTAAATATTAAATGCAGTGAATTTCAGTTCCGGTATTTATGAGTTACTTAGTCTGAGAGCTTGGTAGATTTCGCTACGAAAGCAAGCAAGACTCGCCGCCCCAAACACATCACACCTCTCATGGAGTCCACTGTATGTTGATCGTCATTGTCATTTTCAATAAAAAACATACTCAGTGAAACACTTCTGACAAGATCTAGTGGAGCCTGTTTTGAACACAAGCCCACTGGCTTTTTAAAAACTGGACTTCAACGTAATCCTCACTTCAGCAGGTGACCATCATTCATAATGCTTTTCTGCCAAAGTCTGGTGCCCTACCTCTCGGGGAACAGGTCGAGGTTGGATTTGCAGAACAGCAGGTTCTGGGTGTTGTTGGTCTCCACGCAGGCCCCGCACCCCGGTGTGCCCCGACAACCATCGGCCGTGGTCTGCAGGGTGCAAAGGTCAGCGGGCAGGGACAGCCGATGCAGGGCACCCAGCGATGTCCCGTCGTTCCCGCCAAACGTGTAGATGGTGTCATCGACGGTGACCGCGGCCGCCAGCGAGGTGGACGGGGACGGGGGACTTCCCACCACGAAATCTGTCGGGAAATCCACAGAGCAAATTTATAGTGTAACTGATGCAGCATAAAGTGATTGCGGCATTGAGCTGTTTTCTTCTGAGAGATGAACAATTCTATTAAGGGAATGTTTCACGGCTTGAATAAGCATGGGAAGCTGATGGGAAAAAGCACCGTGCATGATTTTTATCTTTAATGGAGGTGTCACATAAATAAAATTAATGAAATTTAAATTTATATTTCAATGTGTCATGTATATTTTTGATGTTGTGAAACTTGTGTTTTAAGATTGTATCTTGTTGACTTTGTATAGTATTTTTGCGTACATGATTTTTCTAACACCAGGAAGGCAAATTTCATTCTCTGGAAGGAAACGACAATAAAACATGCATACATGTACATACATAAACATACATACATACAATACTAAGTGCAGTGGAATCTCGCTATACCGACCATTCGGCTGTATCGAACATCGTCCTTGGCTCCCAATATTTTGTGCACAAAACCTATCGAACATTGTGTAGTTGCAAATCAACCGAAATTCGCCACAGCACGCATCAGAGATTGATCCTGGGCGGTAGCTTCACGACTTTTAGGATAAACTAAATATCAATTTTGTAACTCAAGATTTAATAAAAATAAAAAATAATTAACAGATACATTTTTAGAAACCTCAAACGTGAATGCAACGGCAAAACATCACGAAAACAGCGAATCATAGTATCACAAGGGGGTGCATTTTCACCCATTAATATGGGTAATTCCAGAAATTAGGGGTCCATTTTCTTTCATGTCCCTGTCACATCTGACTTTTCCAGTTCATAACACAATTTCTAATTTCCAAGAGCGATGAATTTATACGAATTACCTGCCAAACAAATAGTGATAGTTTGAAATCAATTCTGGTGATAATTCCATGTCAAATAACAAAGGTTAGATGTAACAGGGACACAAAAATGTCCCACTTTTGGACTCCTACTTTCTGGAATTACTCACATACAAATCTCTTCCTCAGAGATGAACGACTGATGGTGGAGAAAGGAACTTACCGCTGAGATCGATCCAGTGGTTGCAGAGGTAGTGATACGCCATCAGCGTGTTGGAGATGTTCTGGGTTGGGGTCCCACCTCCCAGTACCACCATGTAATTGGTCGTTGTGACCGCGGCATGGAAGATGTGGGGTAGTGGCTAATGGGAGAAAACAAGTTTCATAAACCGACCCGAAGGGATGACATAAAACAAGCACAATGCCGCGATGTATTACAAATAATGATAAAAATAATGCATAATTGTGCAGAAACCGTATAAATATTCTACTGTGCATTACAAATATTTAAAAATACACTAAATTAATCAAAAATACAATAAATTAAGAATACACTTAAACCGACATAAAAGTATATAAATTGAATACAATTGTAATAACAATGCTTGCCTAAAAAGATGGGTATTCAGTTTGGTTTTAAACAAAGAGAGAGATTAAACAACCTGGATTTCAAGTGGCAATTGGTTCCAGAGTGTGGGGGCAGCTTGTGCAAATGAACTGTCCCCGGTGAACCCAGCAAATGAACTATATATTCAGATCACTGCATCATATTGACTACCAAGATATTGCCTGAAGCAAGCAGAATCTGTGGGGGCCGTGTCATAGAATAGATCACTGCATCATATTGACTACCAAGATATTGCCTGAAGCAAGCAGAATCTGTGGGGGCCATGTCATAGAATAGATCACTGCATCAATATTGACTACCGAGACAACAATCAAGCAGGAGCTGACAGCATATTTTGCTCTATTTTCTTCGTTACCGAAAATAACTCCACAATAAATGGTTCATTTATCTAACAATAACCACAGATTTGAAATAAATTGCTATAAAATGATTTATCGATGATAATCACAGAAAAATAAATTTCCACCCTGTGATCAACAGAGGCTTAGCAAGGATAAGTAATTGTGCTTTCGTCTCCCCGCTGAAACATGTTTCATGTTAAAGCATCGCTGTTGGCCTAACAAAAATTTAAATATTCAAATTGCATCAAAATTGCATGGCTAATCGCACACATTAAACCGCAGGGGGTGGGGACCAGTCCACCACAGATCCCTTCACGCCCTACCCATAATTGAGTCTGTTCCGACCCCCCACCTCACCTGGTTGCCGGGTTCAGCCGGCAGCAGGTTCCACTTTTTGAGCGAGTCTCGGTAATCAAGGGAGTAGAGCCTATCCGAGACGAAGACGCTGTCCAGGTGGAAGAGGTAGCCACCATAGACGTACAGTGCCTTGGTGGCGGGGTGCCAGACCGTGCTGTGCCCAAATAGACCTAGCAAGAAAAAAAAATAATAAATGTTATGCATCTGGGTCCAATTTCACTGTGCTGTTTACCGCACGCGAAAAATCGACACTTATCGTAGCAGAAAATTCTGCACTTACGCCAAACATATTTCACGGGTTAGTGAGAAATTTTGGCTAGTGTGCATGCGTACATCCCACAACTAAGGATTCTGTACTTAAAGGGCTAGCGCAGAATATTTCTGCTTACACGCTTAGCGCAGAATGGAGATCGTAAGCGCAGAATTCTCCAGTAGGTAGCGCCATAAAATCGGGCCCTGATGTAATAAGCCACCTGATTGTATGTCATGTGATGAATGACATTTTACAGTTTGCATTGTAAAAACACTGCATACAGTGCCTTGGAAATGAAAGATGACAGCGTGAACAGGACTGCGAAAGTTCCTGAAAAGAACTGGGCCTGACATTCACGCTCCAGAAGGCATGAAAGGATATGGACAAAGCTTTCCTACTTCTGGGACTATTTGCATGTTTCTATGGTGCCTTGTGGGGTACCAAAACAATGGGAAGAACCCTACAAGGAGCATTTGTTGTACCTGTGGGGTACTAAAACGGTACCCCATAAGAATTCACAGGAACATTTTGAAACCGTACTTCTATGTCGCAAATTGAAGTGTCTTATATGGGGGGCCGTTTGGTCGAAAACTCAGCCAAGGAAAACGATCAAGGAACAAATGGAAGCAATTAGAAAACATATTTGTTACTACACATCTCACTTTCATTACTGTTGAATGTGGTTGAAAGCATTTTGGTATAATTAATTACACATTTGATATCATTATTCATCGGAAAATGACATTAATTTGTGATGAACTTGCATTTTCATTTTTTTTCTTTAGGTTACTGAAACAAAACAAAAAAGTTAATCTTCTTGTGAATTCAATATGGCCGACTTGCAAACAAGGACTACATCCACTTTTGCGTAAAACTGCCCAAGTACTGGCCCTGCTGAGAACGTACCAGTGGGAGGGGTGCCAGTGGTGGGAACGGCCAGCCAAGCATTGTCGGCTAGGCTGAACTCCAACACCTTGTCTTGCAGGCCGTCAATCGGCGAGTAGCCGCCGACAGTCACCATGGTGTCATCCCTGACCACGACGAAGGAGTGGCCGGCCAGACCTACTGGAAAGATGGCGGGAATCTGAAATGCCCAAAATAAAAAAAATTAAATTTCCAATTTGTATTTTGAGATTTTTGCACTCTGTGGATGGGTATTCTACTTGTTGCAAATAAAACCAGGAAAATGCAGTTGGTGTTTCCAAAATTACATTCTGGAAGCGAATTTCAAAGTGTTCCAAAAACACCTTAACCATATTTCCCATTCTGTCAACGTATCCCACCAGTGATTGAAGGAGAGTTTACAAGCATGAAAAAATGCACTAGTACTTCAATACCTGGGACCAGTTCTCACTGACAGTGTGGAAGTACCACACATCTTGCATGACCGTGGTGTCGTTCATTCCGCCAGAGATCATCATGTATGACGAGGCGAATGTCGCTGCATGGTAACGCCTGGGTGCTGGGTGGGCTGCGCTACCCGAGAAGTGCTGCTTCCATGTTTTGGTAGAGAGGTCATAGCTGTCAAATAGATGGGAAAATGCAGGACGATTTTCAGTGGGCCATTACTGGCAACTTTGGAAATAACAAGGATGTTCAACAATAATTACAATCGCTAGTGGGATGAGGACAGTGGTCAGTATAAGGAGGAGGAGAAGAACCAGACGAATATTCCAGAGCAAACCAACGGACTCTGCTCGGGCCAGAGAACCCAATCCACATGTCAGCCTAGGCAGGATTCCAAGCTAGGTAGCAACAGTGGAAGGCGAGGAAAGTACCATCGTGCCAACCTGACACTGCCAAAGCACTCGACAGTTTTCTGGATTGATTAACCTACGAATGAATACCATGTTAAATAACACAGGACGAGCAGCGAAGTGTCAACCTACCTCCAGACGTCGTTCAGGTCCCCGTGGGCGTGCGAGTAGCCACCGAACAGCCACAACATGTTGGCCTCGCTGGCTACCACGGTGTGCCCCATCCGGCTGCAGGGCACTGCCCCGACCGTGGAGCTGGCGTCCGGGTCCACCCGGGCCTCATCAGCCAGGAGTGTCCAGACCCCTCGCCTCAGCCCGGCCAGGGGTGAGGTGGGGTACTGGCAGGCCTCCCCGCCGAAGCCCTCACTACAGTTGCACACGCCCATCTCCTACAAATGGAAAATTGGATACAACAGACCATTTCAAATGTGGAGCAGAACCGGCGTGAAATCTTTTGCATACATTTAATGCTCTCCATAACCATAGAACGTACAAAATGAATGCATGACTTTCCTAGACACCTTCATTTGTAGATGCATCTAGCGTCAAATTTATAGTTTGTCTCATTAAACTCGTGCGTGCAACTGGGAAATCAGACAAAGCGAGGAAAATCCACCTCAACTTTGCAAAAACCTCAAGCTAACCTATGATATCCAGCGAATCTCAGAAAACCTCAAGGTGCATGCACCCTACAATAGACCACTAAACCTTCCAACAGCCTCTGGGTACCCCACATTACCACACTGAATCTCATGAAGCCTCAAGGTACCCAACAATACTCCTTTAAACCTCGCACAACCTTGACGTAACCCACAGTATCCTGCTTAACCCTCGTAAAACCTCGGGGTTCCCCATAGTAACCCTCTAAACCTTGTACAACCTTGAAGTACTCCATAGTACTCCACTAAAACTTGAGGCAGCCCACAATACCCGGCTTAACCTAGTAAAACCTCAAGGTACTACACAAAACCCAGTTGAACCTTGTAAAACCTTGCCAGAGATGGACAACCTGATGACCCTAACAGTCCTCATTATTCCAATTTCAAAGTGATTTTACATACACCCTCGGGGATTAAGGTTACATCTGGTTTAAGTCTCAAGTGGTCCAGGTCTAAAACCTCTGTTCAAATTCGCATCCTCCCCTAAGCCCATGAATCAAACAACTAAACCCTTCATTTGATCTCCTTTCCTACCTTATCACAGATCCCTTGACTGTCTGCCTCACTACAGTTGGCCGGACACAACTCCAACTCGCAGTCCGGCCCCCAGTAACCACTGGCGCAGCGGCAGGCTCCCAGGATGCACTCCCGGTTGCCGCGGCAATCGTCGGGGCAGCGGTTGACGCTGTAGCTGGCCACAAAGCCGGGTGAGTCCGTGCTGCCTGTGTGGTTAGCCTGGTAGACGACGGTCATGGTGCCTGAATTTAAACCAAACACAAACAGAGTAAAACAACCTTCACAATATCATGTGTACTGAAATACAAACACACCTACATGTATCATAACGTGTTCATGCCTGCGACACAAAAACTTCATTAATCTTTTTTTGTTACACACTGAAAATTTAGAGACAATTTTTTGTGCTCTATCTGAAATTAAACACAAAACTGCTGCAAACTGCTTGCTGACTACAGTGAACAATACAAATCCCAAAATACGGAGGGCCTGATGTAGCAGAATCTTTCTCAAAGGTAAAAGGAAATGAAACTTTAGCAAGAGGTTCACAGAGAAATTGGTCAGAGCAAAACTCAAAACGGGGCCAGGGTGAAAAGTCATTCGGTAAAAGCTTTATTTCTATTTAAAAAAAATGACACTTTTGTAGGGTTGAGGTTTGATCCTAGGAACTTACCCGAGTGGGCCACAGTGGAAACACGCTCTAGGAGGTCCTGGCCGCAGAAGGCGCCCATGTTTGTGCCGGCATTCTCAGGGTGTGACAAGGACAAGTGGGCTGGTATTCCGTCATACACGTACACGTAGTCCCTCTGCAGAGAATCAACATGACACAAAATTGAGACCCAACCTAGCAAAGTGAGTTATACGTAACAACACACCTTTATCATGATGCAGTCATGTTTGTCTTGTTCCCTCTTGACCCACTGCCAATAGTAACGCAACCTCACATACTGATAAAAGGGAACAGACTATTTTTCCTTCTGGGCTCAGTTTGGTTACACTGGCAAGATGGCCGCCCCATGATTAAGGTCTATAGGAACTCTTGAGCGAAAGACCTTGAAGAGAATTTTGCATCATGTAAATCAATAAAAACCCTTGCCATTTTCACCTACAAATCGTCCATTTTCATCAGTACATCAAAACAGGTGAAACTGTGTGTCAAATCAAGGAACAGGACTTGCTCCTCCTTGTGCTAAAATGGAATTACAAGGAATATGGCCTTAAGACTCATTTTGTTATGACTCGACTCGAGTCACTACATTACAATGACTTGACTGGAGTCACCAGCTGCAGTGACTCGACTGGATCCATGAAATTAATGACTCGTTACAACTCTGCTCACCCCACAGAGGGCTTCGATCCCTTCCATGGTCAGGCTGATGGTGGGGGGGTTGGCCATGGCGGCGGTGTGGGTCAAATTGTCGCCCGCCGTCAGCACCCACAGGCAGTAGGCCTGGGGGGGAGACACGCCATCCCCCTGGCCTGAGCCCAGGGCGGCTGACTCGGCGTTGGTCAGTAGCATGCGGCCGCGGCATTCATGGGAGCAGTGCTGGGGAAACCTGGCACAGAGATCGGAGAACAAGCTAGAAAGTTTTTTCCATTGTCTACACGGTTGAACACTCAGGATGATATCATTGCATGACATTCAGTGTACATCTCATTCATTTCTTCTTCCAACTTAAAAATGGAAATGGAAACTCCAAGTATAATTTGTTATTGACCTGCAAAAAAAAAAATAAATGTTTATAACAATTGTGCTACTTGAATGACCCGAGTCAGTGTATCTACCGGTAGCAGGCTGAGACCTGACCTAGGTAGTCCAGTTTTTGTCTCAACAAATTGGGGGATGCATTATTCACTCACTTCGGAGACGACACAAATGGGAACTGTTCTCCAGAGAATTTAGCTTTCCTATAATATAAAGTTTGTTTCACTCCTTCTAATAATTGTGTACGATCTATAAAGGTTTAAAATTTTTATTTTTGCTACTTGGGTCAGAACATTTACGGAGTTAAGAGGCGTAACCTAAGTCTCCACAATGCCAAACAAATGACCAAAGCAGAAATACCATTCTGGCTGGGGTTATGAAATCTTACCCTCACCTTGCCAGGCTCATGAAATCCCCTCCCCCAGGGTCATGAAATCCCCCCCCCAGGGTCATGAAATCCCCTCCCCCAGGGTCATGAAATCCCCTCCCCAAGGGTCATGAAATTCTCCCCCTCCCCTAGCCAGGGTCGTGAAATCTTCCCCCTCACCCCGCCCCTTGGTTCTCACCTCGGGTCATGGTAGAACCCCACCACGCACTCCTCACAGTGCTCGCCCCGGCTGTTCTCAATGCAGTAGCAGATCCCTGTCACATTGTGGCAGCGGCCGTGCGTTGGGTCGCCGTGACCATTGCACTGGCACTCAAGGCAGCCCAGCGATTGGTCGGTGGCGTTGCCGTAGCTACCCGGCCGGCATAGCTCGCAGTACTGGCCCATGGTCCAGTCTGGAATGTGCAAACAGAAACACATAACGTTAATAACAAGTATCCAGACAGCAAAATTTTAGATAAGTGGGCAGGCATATTTAAAACCACGTACATGCACTTTTAACAAGCGCACTTTTTTGTCAAGGGGCCTATGTACTGCTGAATACACATGTGACCTGTCACCACAAAATGAGCTGAAAGTCGGAATTTTCAAAAGTTAAAATATTGGTATTTTTGAATTCGGCAGAAAAAGAGCTTTCAAGTGGTATCTAAAGGGAAAAAGTATCAGGTGAAAGAGTGACATTCTGGCAGCCTTGCATCTTTGTTCCCGACATATTTTCGCTATTTCAGACCGGCACGATTAATGCTATCGTCAAAGCTGGCAATCTTACGTTGGCATTCGTCACAGACGCCGATGCCTGTGGTGCACGTGCTGTGGAAATTGCACTCGCAGTCCGTGCTGCAGTTTTCCCCTGTCCAGCCCACGTCACAGATGCACGTGTAGTCTGGCGCCCCGCTGCAGTGGCCGTAGACGCACTCGTGGTAGCAACTACATGCAATGCACACACAGTGAGGTCGGGAACAAGTCATTCTCTCACAACGCACCCAAAAATTTTTCCCAAAGAAACAGTGCTTTATTCCAAAAAAAAAAATCTGTTCTCTTATTGTCGATGGTGGCTACCTGACCTACAATTCATACACATCAGGGCAATGGTAAGTTCCTGGAACCAGACTATCGGTCGATCACCTACAGAAAGGACTGGGTGCCAAGAGTTGGCATGGTCTCAAAAATTGACTTCATTCACAAGTTGGACATATTGAATAGAAAGCAAGGTTAAGTATATTTTGGGAACTGGAGAATACAGAGAAAGCAATAAAATGAAAGTTTCTTACCTATTAATGTTATTTATGATAATGAATACTTTAAAATGTGTGATTTGTTACATCTCAACATTTCAACAACATTTTGAAAACATGAAAGTGAGGTATAGAGCCCAATACAGTCTGGCACCCGACCCATTTGACTGATTACACTGAATGAGACTCTGGGAACATGATCAAAAATGGTTTCCTTGTTAATGGTCCACTGAGACAAACATTTTTTCACCTCAAATGTGTCTATGGGGTCTCCTGAAAGTGCCCCCTGGGGGCCGGCGCAAGGCCAACTCACGTTTTCACGCACTCGTCCCGCCCATTCCCCTCAAAGCCCCGGTCGCAGGTGCACTCATAGGCGTCGAAGGTGTTGGCGCAGGTGGCGTTGTCGTGGCAGTCGTCCAAGCCCAGCTGGCATTCCTCCACGTCCGGGCAGACCCCGTAGGACCAATCGGCCGGCTCGCTCTCCGAGACGTTGTGCTGCGAGGCCACGAGGACAGTGCAGGACTGCCCTGAGTCCGGACCACCGAAGCTACCCTCCTGACAACTGAAATAAAAAAAGAAGAGAATAATTAATAAAATAATTTAATTACAACATGGCTTGTGAGAAGTCACCGCCTTAAAAATATATCCCCCTTTTTAATTAATATTCATTTCTCATCAATATTCATTTTCATGGTCCAATCACAATCGTCTAACACAATAGGTATTTCGAATATGGGCCGTTAGCATCATTCCATTGGTAGCTGGAGCCGAAGGAACACCTTCAAACTGTTTCCTTTCCCACATTCGCTTTACAGAATAAGCCAGCAAGAATTTAAGAACATCGAGTCCTCTGGCTCTTTTTAACAACTTTTGCTAAATCAAGGGTGACATGCATGCTGATATAATATTCAAATAAAATCTGACAACGGAAATGTGTTTACTATGTGCACAACCAAAGGCCAATCAGCATTGCTGGGAACAACTTGATACTAGTTCCCTATACAGTTTGGCAGAGCAGGAACCAGTCTACTGCCACCATCTTGGTTTGGTTCCAAGAAGTCAATACTCACTTTCCCAAGGTGGGGTTGTCTCGGTTACCGCACCAGCCACACTGGAAGTTTGCCAGGCAACTCTTGCAATCAGTGTGTGCCGAACAGGATGGACAAGCCTTTTTCCTGAGAACGGAAAAGGAAATTTAATGAGCTAATGAAACAGAAATTTTGTTCTTCAATGCTTAAACCCAACTGCACACTGTATTATTCCACAGCAAAATTCTGCCATGCACACCATTACATTGGGCTGTAAAAATCCCCAAAGAAGACAGCACAGTGGTGGGGTGAGGGTGGGGGTGGTGGTGAGGGTGGGGGTGGTCTTCTGACTTACTGATCAAACCAGTTGGGGCACTGCCCGTAGGTGTAGGACGTGACATAGGTCCCAAAGGTGAAGCAGGTCTTGGTCTCCTCGCACCACGCGCACTCCTTTGTGCTCTTGGAACAGTCCGAACAGTTGGTGTACCTGAAGGGCAATTGGGACAAACCATCATTCAGGAGAGGGGTGTTTTGCATCTCTGTGCTCAAAGAGGGGCACTGAGGGAACGATAGAGCTGTTTTGACTGAGAAATCTATCTGTGAGGTTGGGCAACTTCTTGATAAAAAAAGAGAAAAGGGTCTTCATTTGTTTCCTCCAAAATCCTCCATCACGGCCACTGGTGAAAATTAGGATATCTGTAAAACATGGGTAAAATACGGGCATTTCACAACAGTGCGCCTCCAAAAGTTTGCAATGCACTGGCCAATCACAATGCGTGAAATCTGTCGGCCAAATGCACATTTGGAAAGGGTCGACCGGCATTGTGATTGGCCAACGCGCTGCAAACTCGTGGAGGCACATTATTGCGAATAACCCATACTGAATACCTATATGAAAGAAGGGGCCCGACTCCCAAACAGAATATTTTTTGAGTTCCAAAGAAAAACACTATTTTTTTTGAAGCAGTTGCAAAAGAAATCAGTTAACTCTCCTGGGCCAAAATGGTGGAGTTGTGCCTTTCTTTTATGAGGTATTCAATTTCCAGGTTTTGAGTAAAATATTTACATTACATTGTCCCTTTGAGTGTTAAGATTGAATTGTTGTCACGGCTGCATCCGATTTATTTGGCTGCGGCTAAGAAAAGCATGCAGCTCTATGGGACATGGTGGCAGCCAGAGCAATAGCATTCCAGGCAAGTTTAAATCCGCAGCCAAACCAATTCAGACTCGGCCTGACTCACTCGTGGCAGGGGAGCGTGCACTGGCCCGGGTCGGTGATGCTGTCCGAGAAGCGCCCTCGCCTGAGGCATCGGGTGTCGTCCCCGGATATCAACCACTCGCACAAAGGATTCTAGGGAAAGAAAACGATAAACGGCAATGTCAGCGGAAATTAATGCTAGTTCAGTCTGTAAGGACAAAAAGACATCTCCTCTGATTTTTCAGCAAGCAGGGATTGAAGTGGTTCTCAAACGTGACCGGCTGGTAAAAAAACTATGGTATATTTGTTTTATAAACCAGTTATTCCAGCAAATTGAAATTAGCAGAGAGCTAACTCGTGTTCCATGCAGGGAGAAGTTTTAATGTCTCCAAGGCGCCAACATTTTTAATGCATGCACATATTTCTGTCACATAACATAATAAGGTGCACAAATTCTGAAAAAATGAACTCTAAATACATTGTGAAAGTAAAAACACAGAAATGACACAGACCAGGAGTTCTCTGTCATTAAATGTAAGCAAGCACATTTGCATTGTTTTCACCAAGGAAAAACAAACCACTCATTTACTGACTGCGCCTTCCAATTTTTCGCAGGTTGACTTCGTCAACGCATTAGGCCCCCCCAAAAAAAGTCTCCAGTTTCTGGCCAGGAGCTGGCACCAAAAGTGGTGTGTCGATGCGGTTATTGTTTTTTACCCTCACTTTTTTTCCTGGAAATGATGTACGATGACGCACGATGTCCATCATGCGCACGTAACGCCGGCTGCTATCAACACTAATATAGACTGGCCCCTGCACTTTCACTGTTGAAAAGCATTTTCAGCTTGTACATGTACACAGGACCTGAGACCACTTCGTTTGTCTGGTTCCCAGATGCAAATGTATATATACAGAAATGAGGTCATCTGAAAAAGAGTGCCTGACTAAATGTATGGGGAACTAGAGGGACTCCTTTTATACTGTACAAATTATTCAACTGTACCCCATCAAAAATGCATCAAAATTATGCAATATTAGGACTTCAGTTAATTAAGCAAGTTTGGCAGCTTTTGGACATCGTTTTATACTATTAATCAAAACTTTTTTATTTTATGATGCGCAGGTCTACGGCGACGCATACGCTGACCAGAAACCAAAGACTTTTTTACTGGCCTTACTTTAGAAGACAGACAATGACACCCATATTGCAGTACACAGCGGTACAAAAGTTCGAGTTTTCCAGAGGATGCACCCAGCAGGCATCACTCTGCCCAGACTGTAGGTACTCCAAGCTGGGTAATATCGGCGTACCTCGGTGCAGGACAGGCAGTCTACGTACAGCCCGCAGTCGACGCACTGGTCCCAGCTGGTGACCAGGTGATGGGTGATGGCACCCGTCACCGTCCCACAGTGGTCCTCGGCCGCTGCCGTCTGGCTGCGCAGCTCGCACGTCCTACTGGTCGGACACCAGCCGCAGGACGCGTCTGTCAGGCAGCCCGAGCAGGTGACGTAGTTCTCGCAGCTGCCAGAGTAGAACGGCTGCAGGTACTCCTTTTCAAAAGGCTTGAGGTGATAAAAAATAAAAACCAGGAGATGGTCAAGTGCAAGCTTGGGGCAAACTCAAGCAGTAAACTACACACTCAATGTAGTTCTTCCATCATGCATTGCACCATCCAGTGTCCATATTCTAGGGCACTGTTCAGTATAACAATAGACCGATTGTGCCCGCTAAATCACATGACCTATAGTGGGTATTAACCCCATAGCAACGTGTGTTTTGAGTGTTATTTACTAACTATACAGCCAGGTTATAGTCTGGGTACGGTACCTACGGTTTAGTACCCAGTACATCTGTAGTCTGGGTACGGTACCTACGGTTTAGTACCCAGTACATCTGTAGTCTGGGTATGGTACCTACGGTTTAGTACCCAGTACATCTGTAGTCTGGGTATGGTACCTACCGTCCGCGTTATTTTTGGTAAATGATACTTACGAAACACTTTGCTTTTGGTGAACGTCATGTTTGTTGATATTTAATACCCACTATAGGTCACGTGACTTAGCGGGCGCAATCGGTCTATTACTGTCATAACTATGTTTTGAATACTTATTCCGCTGGCCCAGCATCATCATGTGAAAGGTGATACAACTGCATGTCACACTCACTGTTTGACATCATGTCAGCCAGCACTCTATATCAAGCATGCGTACAAAAGCAGGCTTACACGCTCCCCCGCCGTGCACAGGATAAAGCAAGGGCTGCTATTCTACCAATGCTCAAAGATCGTTTTATTGCCTTTTAATTTCCCTTAGTGAATCGAGTGAAAAACATCAGCCAGACAGAGATGTGTCAAACACAATTGCTGACTGCTGTGATGTAGAGTACAGTGGAATCTCGCTATACCAAACACTGCTAGACCGACCATTCGGCTGTACCGAACATCGTCCTTGGCTCCCAATATTTTGTGCACGAAACCTACCGAACATTATGCAGTTGCCAAGTCAACAGAGATATGCCACAGCATGCATAAGAGATTGATCCTGAACGGTAGCTTCACGACTTTTAGGTTAAACTAAATATCAATTTTGTAACTCAAGATTTAATAAAAAACAAAAATAACAGATACATTTCTAGAACCCTCAAACGTGAATGCAACGGCAAAACATCACAAAAACAGCAAATCATAGTATCACAAGTGGGTGAACTTCAGTTTAATAGACAAGAGAGGGCACTATTCAACATGGCAACGAAATGTTCGGCAGTTAATTTTGCCATACCAAATGACTGCTGTACCGAACATTTACCGTGGACCCCGTTGTGTTCGTTATAGCGGCGTTCCACAGTATGACGTTTTGAACATCTTCGCCTTACATCTCTCCAATTTTCCCTACAGCTTATCCGACACCACAGTAGTCAAGAATTGTCTGCTGTGGCATGGGCCATGATGTTTTAACATCCAAGGGACTCAAAGCTGTCCGTCCCCTCTGTCTTCAATTTTGTGTTCAAATGTTTATTGTAAACAATGAGCATCTCTCCAGTTTCCACTGTTGTCAAAGTTATATGATGCGCGTGGTCTCAGTGCATTGCCATATTAGTTAAAGTCGAGAATGTCTCAGTCAAAAGCAGTATCTTTGTGTCTTAAAAACAATTTTTAGAGGAGAATCTCCATGTTTGTTCAAGCTCAGCAGAAATTGTTAAAGAACTTGAGGATACACAGAAACAAACTTGAAAAGAATTTCACCTGTTCATTGCAGCCCTCCAACAGCCGATCATATTGCCTACTACTAAACAGAGTGTGCTATTAACAACTAAAAATAGTCTGGATAGCGGTCTCTGTATCGTGGTCATGGACATTGAGGCGGAAACTAGTCTATCAGTCTATGATATCACAATGTAATATCAATGACGTGGTATCCAACAGGGTGATATGCATTTTTATCACCCAGTCTGTGATCATTCTGCCCCAGTGAAAATACAGTATTCAAGATATACACAGGAGTAGCAACTGGCAGCAATCTTGGAACTTTATTGCAACGTTGGGCAAGTTCGAGCGACGACTATCTGTCGACCACTGGCCAATTTTTCCCCGGTAACCTGTGCACAAAAATTGTCCCGGGTATTAACCGGGCAAAAACATGATCCATGTTCGACAAAAGAGTCGTGGCTCGGAACCTGACCTCTGCTTTTGTACCTGCGACATCTGGCTGGTTGGCATGTTCCCATTCCACTTCAGGTCCATGACAGAGATCAGGGGATGGTCCAGGGTGACCACCTGCCGCTCTTCCTGGCGCACGTAGTACGCCGCCGAGGTGTCGGGGAAGATGGCCGATCCGTCCTCCCGAATCGCCTTCACGAACTCTTCTTCCTCTAGCGCATAGTAAGCCACCTTCTCCTGTTGGGGAAGGCATAACAAACTAGACTGCAATGATCGAACGATCATAGGCCACTCACCCAAAGAATGTCCATTTCTGACCACAAAAAAAGCCCAGATATATGACCTCCTCAGTGAAACTGTGTCATCAGGCGCTTTTTTTCCTTGTTAATTTTATTTCAGTTTGCAACAGAATGAGAAGGCTTTGATAACATTTTTTCCATGGCAGCAGCTGTCACAGCGCCCTCGTGTGTTGAACGTTCTGAAATGGGATGGACCCTTTTGCTATGTTTCAAAGTGGGAGTCTGGAATTTTGTCTTTTCATTTGGATTTAAATCCATATTCTTTAATTACCCCATCGGAGCTCAAGAATTGCAATCCCATAATATGTGTAAAAACATTTTTGTTCCCATTTATTTATTCCATTTCATTACCCCGGGTATGCCCAAACAGTTTAACAAAGCTGGTTTCCATTGGGGCCCTGCAATCATTACAAATTAATAAAATAGTTAGAAACTCACAGCGAAAAGTAAGATTGACAAATGAGACAACCATCAATTTTAAAAATGCAAACCACTAATATATGATACACATGTGAACATTTAAATAATCGAGGCATTAATTAAACACAGATCACGGGATGGGCGAAAATCCTGCAAAAAACCCTATGGGAAAATAAAACACTGGGAAATTCCCGATCTGGCTCCAATGAACATTGGCAACCAACGTTCCTACTGAACGCCACTGTGCAAGGTTCTTTTCAAGGCCATTTCACTCCAAAGTGGTTCTGGCGACTTGTGACTCATTTTCGCACAGGGCATCAAATGTGAGCCAACCAGAAAATGAACCTCTTGCCAGTTAAATTTGAATTAAATCTGGTTGCTTTATTCACATAAACATAATTCAAATTCTTCATAAAGACAATGTTGCTATACCTGGTGATTCGGGGTAAACTTTTCCTTAGTTACATAAGAGATGCCTTGCAACAATACACTATTCTCAATGGATAAGAACGGCATAAAGGAACCAGTCCATTCCAGAGATGGTGGTTGCTATGCAAAAGCTTGCCTCAAATCACAAGGTATCTTGCAAGAGTGTAGTCTGGGAGAATTCAAATTGTTATGTTATGTGCAATCAGATGACGCAGTGAACCAGATTTAATTCAAATTGAACTTGCAAAAGGCTTATTAGAAACCAGTGAAAAAAGGGGGACTGCAATTTCAAACAGGGCTGAGCCACTTGCCGACAGTACCAGCAGATTTCCAACAGAAATCTTAACATCTGAACTGCATGACATTTCCGGGACTTTCCAGAAATAAAATGTGACAATTTCCATGACACTTTAACTGTATGCTGCCGGGAAGTCTGGTTTTGGGCACATACGCTTTATATACGAAACCGGACAAAAGAGCTGGGCCTTGTAACAAGAGCCGGACTCAGAACAAAACAAAAGACCAGGCCGCTGGAATCGCCAACACTTTTTTCAGTTGTCAACAGCGGAGGAAATCCGTCCTTATTTTGAGAGATTATACCACTGTTTGTGGGATTCAGGGTGAGCGGATTACCACCGGGGACAGAAGCTCTCCAGCACTCCAGCAATGACTGATACAATACCGCTGCACACTAATCTGGCCCCTTTTGAAAAAATGCCAGTAGCGCACTGGGCCAGTTTCGGGAACAAAAGAAAGTTACATAACACTGCACAATCTGGGCTCTTTTAACAAGGCGGCAGGCTTGGCTGAAATACTTGCGCGTCAGTACATGCTGTCTGTCAAATTAGAGTAGTAACCAGACAGTTATTTGTGTGGGTGTAAACATCCAATAAATGAAGCAATGATTTTTTGAAGAATTTTGAAAATGGAACATCTTGAAAATCTCCTGGTTTTACGCCATGACACTTCAAATTCCACCCGGCAGCAGGTGGTTAAATACCATTCCGCGGAGAAAAGTTGTCTTGTATTATGAACCGGAGGACTGCCTTAGCCACCGCTATCCCCTCCAAGGGGGAACAAAAGAGGGCGCGCTTGTAAATGAAATTGACAGTCATTAGGAACCGACTCACTGCATAGGCATACGAGTATAATGCGCGTTTGACACGGAGCATGCCGAGTATGCGCAATGAATCTATTCCGGAATCTATGGTCTCTGCGTACACGCACAACACGTGCCAAGAATCTGGTCGGAAAACTTAATACCATCTGTCTTTCGACTATTGGGGGCGCACTTCTGCTCAGGGCGGATAGATTGCCAAGGACACAGCCTGTCAAATTATTGTAATCTCATTATCACATCGTATGCGTTCAATCAAAAGTATCCCTTGCAGGAATCTCACTTCCACCGTTCAGTGAATTTGACTTAATGTCCGGGACGGTGTAATCGCTACAATCCTGGAAATATCTCATTGGAACATGCCTCCCCCTCGCCCTCCTGTCAATGTTGTTTCTCATTGGGTAAGTTGGGCCGAATCTTTTGGTCCAACAAACAACCGCAACATTGAATGGGGGAGAGGCGGATCTTTTCACCGCGCTTCCCACAAGGTGTTCGAATTATTTTGTCCAGGACTGTAGGTCCCTTACTTGGCCAC